GCCACTTCTGGTGAACCAGAGCAGCACACGGAAACGACGTTTACCTTCCCGCCTATTTATCTACTTGCACTTTGACATGCTTTTGAACTGCTAGGTTGGCAGGAGGAGGGACCGAGGAATGGGAACTCACCCCGTCGCAGGGATTTGAACCCCCGACCTTCTGATCAGCAAGTCCTAGGCTCTGTGGTTTAACCCACAGCACCACCCGCGTCCCTTTTCGGTGTTAGTGGACTACAACTCCTGCCATCCCTGGCCATTGGCTATTCTGCATGGGGCTGATGGGAGCTGGAGTCCAGTAACATCTGGCGGGCCTTAAGGGGTTGTATCCTACAAAGAACTTCTGTCTTTGTAACAGGACTCTCTCCCCCAAAAAAGCCTCCCCCCCTCCATCCACTTTAAGAGGTTGGGGGAAATCCCCAGAACAGATTTCTTTGGGGGGGGGGTGGCACATGAGGCAAGGCGAAGGAAGTTGATGACTTTGTTGGACGCAGCCCTTAGTCTCCACCCCAAGACAGGCCTCGAGTCTGTTTCTGAGCATAGCATCAGTACTTGGGGAGGAAGATGGCCGAGCGCTCGTCAGATCTCAAGGAGGGCAGCCAAAGAGGATGTCGGGCAGAGGGAATGGATGAGCCAGCTTCTCTCTTCTTCCCAGGCACAAGATGATCAAGTGGTGGGCTCAGTCTTTTCTGCCCGGAGTGTCTCGGATCGTGGCCGGGTACCGGGGGCCAGATGGCTCCATCGTGGAACTGGAGACGTTTGAGACGATGAAGATCTTCCAGCTTATTAGGGTGAGTCCAGCCCAGTCCAGCCAGGCTGAGATCTTAGATTCCTCCCTTTCGTCCTAACCTCTCCCAGCTCCAAGGGAAAAGGGGTGGGTGGGTGTTGGTGCACTAATTCTTCCTCCAGAGCGGCTCTCTATAAGGGTTCAACAGGTGATCGGTGGTTACAGGGAACCCCTGTGAAGCTGCGCTCAGAGTGAAAGTGCATCTTCCACAGAGGTTGCTGTAAGAGCCAGCCAGCCGGCAGACTTCAGGCTTGATAAATTGCTTGTTCACCTGAACTCCCAAGGTACACCGGGACAAAACAGTAGCTTAGGTACGGAAGCACAGGTGGTCAGGTGCGCACTTCAGAACTGAAAACACACACCTGCTCCTCTCGGGCATTGGCTTTCAGCATCAGAACTGTGTTTGAGGAAGGCTGAACTAGATTGACCAAGGAGCCAGACTCTGCCTAAGGTAGTTCCAGGTTGTATCACCCCTAAAATAACCTCCCTTCTTCCTCCTGGGCAGGAGGACCCGGGCTGCTGGAAGCCGGCGGTGTGCATGAACTTTTGCGCGGCGTTCCTCGGCTTTGTGAAGAAAGTGGTGACCGAAGACAATCCGAAGTAAGTAGTCATGGTGGCCAAGGCCAGTGGGAGTTTGCAGTCCAAACACCTTTAGGGGGAGCAGGCGGATGACGGCCGGTTAAGTAGAGGAGGAAAACGAAATGGGAAGACTAGAGTGAACGTGGGGCTCCTAGCAAGGGAGAGCAACTTCTTGGCTATTCTGCCTGGCATTTAATTTGAATTCAGCCTGATCTTTTACAGTGGTACCTCTAGATATGAATGGGATCCGTTCCGGATCCTCGTTCGCATCTAGAAGCAAACGTAACTAGCAGTGGCACGTCTGTGCATGCGCACGTCACCTTTTGCCGCTTCTGCGCATGTGTGTGATGTCATTTTGAGCGTATGCGCATGCGCAAGCGGCGAAACCCGGAAGTAATGCGCTCCGTTACTTCCGGGTTGCCGCGGAGCGCAACTCGAACGAGCTCGACCCGAAGCGCATTCAGTCCAAAGTATGACTGTATTTCCCTTCTCTTCCCTCCCCCTCCCCTTTTATGAAGATTACCCACTCTGGGATCCCACAGCTAATTCTCCCCTGGCCTCCTCGCTGGCCCAAGTAGGACAAATTCAGCCAGCTAGCCCTGGTGATTATCTAATGCTTATTAGATGGATTTCCCCTAAATTGATTTCTGAACTTTGAATTATATTGTTACAGTGGTACCTCTGGTTACATACGCTTCAGGTTACATTCGCTTCAGGTTACAGACTCCGCTAACCCAGAAATAGTACCTCAGGTTAAGAACTTTGCTTCAGGATGAGAACAGAAATCGTGCTCCAGCGGCGCGACAGCAGCAGGAGTTCCCATTAGCTAAAGTGGTGCTTCAGGTTAAGAAAAGTTTCAGGTTAAGAACGGACCTCCAGAACGAATTAAGTACTTAACCCGAGGTACCACTGTATTCAAGTTTTTACACTGTATTTTATGCTGCTTTTACAATTAAGTGTTTTAAATTTGTTGTTAGCCGCCCTGAGCCCGGTTTGTGAACCGGGAAGGGAGGGGTATAAATAAAAATTTATTATTAGTCTCCCTTTCTGAGGAACCTCACGTTGTACCTGCTGCTTTCTCCTTTGTCCAGGTTGGTCCACCTCTTTGCCTGGGAGCCGGGCCACCCTGTCTCCTTCACGGTGCACCGGGACTCCGAGCACACCTTCCTGCCCGACTGGTACGTGGAGGCACTGAGCAGCGAGAAGCCCTCGACTCCGCACATCCCAGACTGATGGGCCGCAGCTGGAGGGAGAAGCTGGATTTTTGGTGTATCTTGAGTGGGCAACGCAGGATGGGCGGTTAAACACACACACACACACACACACACACACACACACACAGCAGACAGAAGGAGGCTGGCACCTGGTGCTCAGAAAGTCAGGGACATGCCTGGGAGGTCCCCTACCCCCCCCCCATCATCACAGTGAAGGCAGGGACAGGGCAATAAACTATTATTGTAAACACAAACGTCTCCTAGCAGTGCTTAGTGAAGGGATTACGTCTCTCTCTGGTTTATCGGTAAGGGCCTTCTTAAGGACAGCAGGGATAGAGGGAGGTGGCTTGTCAATACAGTGGTATCTTGGGTTACAGACGCTTCAGGTTACAGACTCCGCTAACCCAGAAACAGTACCTCAGGTTAAGAACTTTGCTTCAGAATGAGAACAGAAATCATGCTCCGGCGGTGCAGCGGCAGCAGGAGGCCCCATTAGCTAAAGTGGTACCTCAGGTTAAGAACAGACCTCCGGAACGAATTAACTTCTTAACCCGAGGTACCACTGTAAGTAAGTTTGATCCGTGGCAGCTCACATAAGGGAAGAAGCCTTTGCCTGGTTCCACACAACAGTCTTCAGATATTTAAAAAACAGTATTGCTTCTTCCCCCTCAGCCTTCTCTAGGTTAAACATGCCCTTCAACCTTTTTTCACAGGGCTTTCCGTCCATAAGATTGTCTTTATTGCCCTCCCATGAACCCAACTTGTCCACATCCTCCTTTTTTAAAGTAGTGTCTCCAGCAGTGGACCCAATGAGGCTCCAGACAAGGTCTGAGTAGTGCAGGATAAGAGTGAAACACTCGCTTCTGTTAATGCAGCCTCAAATCACATTCACCTTTTTTGAGTGCTGTCCAGCTTGTAGTAACAATAATAATAATATAATAAAATTAATTTATTCCCCAGCCACTCTGGGTGGCTCCCAACAGAATATTAGGTAAAGGTAAAGGGACCCCTGACCATTAGGTCCAGTCGTGACCGACTCTGGGGTTGCGACGCTCATCTCGCTTTATTGGCCAAGGCAGCCGGCGTACAGCTTCCGGGTCATGTGGCCAGCATGACTAAGCCGCTTCTGGCGAACCAGAGCAGTGCACAGAAACGACGTTTACCTTCCCACCAGAGCGGTACATATTTATCTACTTGCACTTTGACGTGCGTTCGAACTGCTACGTGGGCAGGAGCAGGGACCAAACAACGAGAGCTCACCCCGTCACAGGGATTCGAACCACTGACCTTCTGATTGGCAAGCTGTGGGTTAAACCACAGAGCCACCTGTGTCCCACCAACAACACCCGCGTCCCACCAAACTTCCCTAAACAGGGCTGCCTTCATATGTCTTCTAAAAATCAGAGAGTTTTTTATTTCCTTGACATCTGATGGGAGCTTGCAACAGACCTTGCAAGGTAGAGATCCTTTTTTTAAAATAAAAAGTGCTGCCGCCAAGCCAGGTTACTCCCAAGCCCCACATCCTGAAGCTGTATTCTCTCTCTCTTTGAAATTATTCATTGCACTTTCCCTAAATGAGGAACTTCTGTTTTTTGGTTGGTGTTGGGAAGAAACAGCTGTGGCCTTTTTATAAGCCTTCTGGGACCTGATAGCCATGGAAGCCCAGGAAGAGGAAGAGCAGGAAACTCACATCTTCCACGCATTTAACGTGTGCATTCAGCTTTGGCAATTTTTTAAAAAAAGATAGATGGATAGAAGGGGTTGGGCGTCTGGAAAAAAAGAATTTGGCAATCCCACCCACCCTTGAACCCAATGTGTTTTGACTGTATGTGATTTTGGCTTTAGTCTGACCTTTAAAGCCCTAAATCAGGCATAGGGATACCCGGCCCTCCAGATGTTTTGGGGCTACAATTCCCATCATCCCTGACCACTGGTCCTGTTAGCTAGGGGTGATGGGAGTTGTAGTCCCAAAATATCTGGAGGGCTGAGTTTGCCTATGCCTGCCCTAAATGGCCTTGTCCCAGTATACCTGAAGGAACGTCTCCACCCCCATTGTTCAGCCCGGACACTGAGGTCCAGCACCGAGGGCCTTCTGACAGTTCCCTCACTGCGAGAAGCGAGGTTGCAGGGAACCAGGCAGAGGGCCTTCTCGGTGGTGGCACCCGCCCTGTGGATGTCAAGGAAATAAACTACTACCTGACTTTTAGAAGACATCTGAAGGCAATCCCTGTTTAGGGAAGTATTTAATCTTTGATGTTTTATCGTGTTTTTAATATTCTGTTGGGAGCGATCCCCATAATGCAGCCTCTGTGCAAGTTGAGAGTCACCTGTGCTCTGGATGGGCCTCTGTCACCAACAGACCCTAACCCAACACAGCCTCACCCTTCGCATGTGTCAGAAGGAAATTACCCACTCCCCTTAAGTCAGCAAAAAATAATATTTTATTGCATATACCTGCAAGACGCATTACAACTTTTCAGACATCAGGAACAGAGAGCTGCATTTTGAGGGGGGTGGGAAGAGCCGAAGGTGCTCCCCCCTCCCTCACTGGGTGTAGAGGCTGGCAGCAAAGACGATGTCCCTCTTGATCATGTTGGAGGCGGCCTCCATCTTGGCGTGGAGCGTCGGCTCCCCGGTGACGCGGGCTGCGTTGCGCATCTCTCGGCAGGTCTCGTCCAGGCGCTGGATGCAGCGGACGATGATCCCTTCCTGCACGTCTGTCAGGCGGGCAATCTCAGCAAATGGCTGGCGAGGAAGCAAAGGAAGGAAGTTGTGGTTCTTGCCTTGCAGGGGGTTAGGCTACTGCAGGGGTCAGCAAACTTTTCCAGCAGGGGGCCGGTACATTGTCCCTCAGACCTTGTGGGGGGCCGGACTAGATTTTGAAAAAAAATATGAACGAATTCCTGGGGCCATAGTTTGCAGACCCCTGGTCTAGCTTATGACTCAGCAGTGGCTCCCTGGGATTACAGGGGGTTTCTTCCAGCCCTGACCTAGAGATGGCGGATTGTACCGGGGACGTTCTGCATGCAAAGCACTGAGCTATGGGAGGGATGTTCCTTCTCACCTCCAGGTTCAAGTGGTTGGCTGGGAAGCAGATGGAACAAGGGCTGGATTTGTACTTTCTGTCTTCTGAAGCAGCAGGTTGTTCGCAGTGCACTTGCAACATCCCTCCTCCCAGGGCCTAGGCACCATGTCGGCATTCAGGGTTCACCCAATCCTTGTGATTATATATATATTTTTTAAACTCTCTGAATTTTTAGTTGCCGTAACCCGCCCTGGGACCTGCTGGTGAAGGGTGGGTAATAAATATAATAAACAGCAACAGCAATAAATGCATCTGTAAGGGCTGGCGAACCCTGTAGGCCTCCGAAGGTTTGTTGGACTACAACTCCCATCAGCCACAGCCAGCATGACCAATGGTCAAGCATGCTGGGAGCCATAATCTTATAGCTGGGTGAAACGGTCTCTGCCTTGGTTGTAGTCTGTTGATGCTGGGAAACCTCTTTAGTTTGGCCAACCAAAACAAAAAGTCTGTAAGGATTGGAGAATCTTTAAAGAATATTTGGAAAACTATGGAATAAAATGAAACATCTTGGCAGAATTAGACTAATCCCTGTATTGTAAAGTTTGTAGGGAGGTAAAAAGAAATTATATAAGAAATATGTAACTGTGTGGTATAAAGTAATGGATAGACAAAGTACAGTGAGATTAACTGGAAGTCAGTTTTAAATCTTTGAACTGTTTTTAAGAGACCATTTTTAGTTGGTTGTATACAGTGGAACCTTGATCCTCCAACTTAATCTGTTCCGGGATTCCGTTCAAGAACCAAGGTGCAGCTTCCGATTGGCTGCAGGAGCTTCCTGAACCTCAATCAGAAGCAGTGTTGAATGTTCAGCTTCCAAAAAACATTTGCAAACTGGAACGCTCACTTGCAGGTTTGCGGTGTTCGGGAGCCGATTTGTTCGACAACGAAGGCATTCAACCACCAAGGTACCATTGTATTTTTAAATCGCACTAAGACTCACGTGGAAGACTATTCATGAATTAAAATAAAATCCAATTAATAAAACCACCACAGCCACCTCCTCTGGCCACAGGCTCCCTCCTCTTGCTCTGCATTAATATTAACTTTGCCTCAAACCCCTGCCAGGTGCTCTCAGGTGGTTGGGGACAGAGGCTGGCGTCTTACCATGCCGCGGGCCCATTCGTAGACCACCTCCACCAGCCCAAATTTGTACTGCTCCACAAAGTCCTCCACTGACTCCTGGAGGCCGCACTTGCGCTGCAGCAGGGCAATCTCCTCGGCCACCGACCGGATGTGCTCTATGCCCTGTAGGGGGAAGTGTGGGTCATGAGAGCCGGACTCTGGGAGCTGCTGCCAGGCCCCCACATTTACGTCCACGCCCCTGGGTGGCTCTATGGGGCTCCGGCTTCTCCTCCCTGCTGCCCCTTCCCCCCGGCTCACCTTTTGCAGGACGGAGGGCAGCTGGGGCTCCACCCTGGTGCGGACCTGGCAGACGGTGCAGCTTAGCAAGGCCACGATCTCCTCGGGCCGCAGGTCCGTCAGGGCGTTGTCCAGCAGCAGCTGGGTGAGCAGCAGCTCGTGGTTGCTGATCTGGCGGGCCACACTGCCTTTCAGCTCCACAGCACCGCCTTCGTTGATGTAGCCCAGGGAGCGCAGGACCTGGGGGGGCAGTCGGGGCACAAGGTGACCGAGGGGGAAGGAGGAAACAGCAGCACAGGGTGGGGCAGACACCCCCCCCCATCTATTTTGAACACAACCGGGGGCATCTCTGAGTCACTGGTGGAAGTCCTTGGATCAAATCTATGCTTCCAGGTGCTATAAGAAAGCTGCAGAGATAGTGCAGGATAGTGCGCACCCCGGAAATGATCTCTTTCAGCTTCTGCCTTCTGGAAGAAGGTACAGGGTTATAAAGACGAGGACTAGCCATCTGAGAAACAGTTTCTATCCAAATGCGATTTTGGTTTTAAACACTGTGTAAGGAGTGGCGCTGTGGGTTAAACCACAGAGCCTAGGACTTGCCGATCAGAAGGTCGATGGTTCGAATCCCCGTGACAGGGTGAGCTCCCGTTGCTCGTCCCCTTCTCCTGCTAAACTAGCAGTTTGAAAGCACCTCAAAGTGCAAGTAGATAAATAGGTACCGCTCCGGCGGGAAGGTAAACGGCATTTCCGTGCTCTGCTCTGGTTCGCCAGAAGCGGCTTAGTCATGCTGGCCACATGACTCAGAAGCTGTACGCCGGCTCCCTCGGCCAGTAAAGCGAGATGAGCACCACAACCCCAGAGTCGGCCACGACTGGACCTAATGGTCAGGGGTCCCTTTACCTTTAAGGAGTCTCTATAGGAGTATATTGTATTTTAAAAATGGGGTATCAGAGTTTTTAGGGGCTAACCAGGTTGGGATGGCTGGGATAGCAGGCTTGTTGGTTTTGAATGTCTTATGTAGACTTTTTTTCTTTTCAATTTCGTTGTTCTGTATGGGACAATGACAATAAAGATTATCATACTGTATCCTTTTTGGAGCCTCCGTGAGGGAGAAGCTCTTACCTGGACCCGCTGGTGATACTCTGGCAGCAGCAGGAGGGACTGGTCAGAGAGCAGGAAGCGCAGCTGTTCCAGCTCCTCCAACACCTGCTGGCGCTCCCTGAATCGCACAAACTAGAAGAGCAAAAAGAGAGACAGAGAGGAGATCAAGCCTCGCCTAATGCTGGGAAAGGGAACTTGTGGCACTTGCACTGCTGCCGCTGGGACTCCAATTCCCATCACCCCCCTGCTGGCATAGCCAACAGTCGGATGGGATGGGAGGTGTAGCCCTTGGGGACTGGAGAGGGTCAGCGGCCGCCTTAACCTCCCCCTTCCTGCCATCCCAGCCCTGCTCCATTGGTTCCCGCTCCTGCCCCCACTCCGCGACTGACCTCCGTGTGGAAGTGGGGGCTGTGCACGCACTGGAACCCCAGCAGCGCTTCCTCCAGGCCACGTGCCTTCACCACCCCTTCCACCACCTCCAGGTCCTTCAGCTGAAGGTCGTTCACAGGATCCAAGAGGGGGAGGCCCTCGGGGGAGCCCTCGGCCAAGCGCAGCAGTTCCTGGGTGGCTGTGGCAGCTGAAGGCCCAGGGGGATCGTTCCTGCAGGGAGGGGGAGAGAGAGAGAGGAAGGCATGGAACATCTTATTCTGCCTGATCTCTCCTTGCTGCAACGAAGACTAAACCCACCGAGTGTCTCTGGAGCTCTTGTGGTCTAAGGGCCTCCCCACAAATGTCCAGTTTGCTCCTCCTTTCCCCTCCCCCCATATAAAAAGGTAAAGGGACCCCTGACCACTGGGCCCAGTCGTGACCGACTCTGGGGTTGCGGTGCTCATCTCGCTTTTACCTTCCCGCCGGAGTGGTACCTATTTATCTACTTGCCACTTGGACGTGCTTTCGAACTGCTAGGTTGGCAGGAGCAGGGACCGAGCAACGGGAGCTCACCCTGTCGCAGGGATTTGAACATCAAAATAAAACCTGAGCGTGAACCACTAACGTGGGCTTAGAAGTCCCCTGTCCTGTGAGTGGCAGCATGAGGGTTGCCACAGCTGCCGTTACCCTTAATCATTCAATTAATTAATTAAATCTGCATACTGCCCTTTTAGCCGAAGATCTCAGGGCAGCTTACACATCATAAAAATACATGAGGTAAAAAGCACAAACTTTCCAAGAAATGACAGGCCAGCTGGTATTTTTGTTGTCTTGTGTTTATCATATGCAAAAAAATAACCTGCAGTTTTTATAAGAGTACAGTGGTACCTCGCAAGACAAATGCCTCGCAAGACGGAAAACTCGCAAAACGAAAGGGTTTTTGGTTTTTTGAGTTGCTTCACAAGACGATTTTCCCTATGGGCTTGCTTCGCAAGACGGAAACGTCTTGCAAGTTTGTTTCCTTTTTCTTAAAACCGTTAATACAGTTGCGACTTGACTTCGAGGAGCAACTCATAGCACGCGGTGTGGTAGCCTTTTTTGAGGTTTTTGAAGACTTTGGTGATTTTTGAAGCTTTTTCAAAACTTTTCCAACACTGTGCTTCGCAAGATGAAAAAAACCGCAAAACGAAAAAACTTGCGGAATGAATTAATTTCGTCTTGCGAGGCACCACTGTATGTATTTAAAGCAGATGAATAAATGAGTAAATTAAGTTAATTTGGAATACAGTGGCACCTTGGTTCCTGAATGGCTTGGCTCCCGAACAAATCTGCTCCACAACGCCGAAAACCCAGAAGTGAGTGTTCCCGTTTGGGAACGTTTTTCAGAAGTCGAACATATGACACGACTTATGCGTCTTCTGACTGGCTGCTGGAAGCTCCTGAAGCCAACTGGAAACTGGGCTTTGGTTTTCAAACAGTTTTGAGAGTCAAACGGACTCCCAGAATGGATTACGTTCAAGAACCAAGGTACCACTGTATGCAGAAAATATAAAAAATAAATTTAAGGAACCGCAGAAAGAGGGGGAAGGAAGTCGAGTTTTGAAATGTTAAAATGATTGTATAAAAATTGAAAATCATAAAATAATAATAATATCATATGCAAAAAGGAATAAAACGTATTCTTTTTTAAAAATTAAAAATAACCACAAAAATGGTTCCCGTTTGTTTTGTTTAAAGGCACTGTTATGTGTAAGGAACACTTTGTCCTTGTAGGGCTAGAATGCAGAGGGCTGGGCCAAAGCTTCTGACATCCAGACTCAAAACACAGGCTTTGGAGGGAGGGATGTCTCTGCCTCTTCTTTTGAGGCCAGATCATGAGATTTGGAAGTGTGGGAGGAGGGTGGGCAGGGGAAGACGAGGAGACACGAGAAGCTTCCTGGAGAGCAACAAGCTCTCCTATTTGTGTCCCCTGCACCCACCCAAAGTACTTTACGCAGTTCTGCTACAGCCGCGAGGACTCGCTCTCTGCCACCCTCCAACACTGAGCATTATCACCTTAGACACAAGGGATGGGGAACCTGCGGCAATCCAGGTGTTGCTGACCTCCAGCTCCCACCCTCCTCACCTGCTGGCCGGGCTCCTGTCTCACCTGAACCTGGGCATCTGGCGCTTCTTGAAATCTTCCAGGATGCGCTCAGCATTGACCCGCAGAGTTTTGTTTGTGATACCGAAAATGTCTGATGGGCCCAGTTTCTTTATAGTATGTCCGCAAGGGCCTGCGTGGGGTGGAGAAATATATAAATATATACACACATATATTGCAAGCCTCCATCGGCTGTCCCAACCCAGAACACAGGGCCAAAATCAACCATTTGCACAATTATGGATTCCTAGATGCATTGCTTATGTCTCAGCCAACTTCTTTTAAAAAAACAAGTTTCTGGTTCTCTTGAACTAAATTATTGCCAGTGACATTTGAAAAAGGCTGTCTCCTCCTATCAAGCCCTCCTACTTTTCTCCTGCTAGTTTGAAAAGAGTTACTGTATTTTTCGCTCTATAAGACGCACCAGACGATAAGACGTACCATTTTTTTGCCCCATAGGACGCACCGGCACATAGGACGCATTAAGTTTTTTTGGGGGGAAATAAAGAGAAAAAAATTATTTCCCCCCCCAGGCGCTTGCGGGGCCGGCAGCGGGGAGAAGCGCTCTTCTCCCCGCAGTCCGCCTTCAGACCAGGTCTGGGGACAGCAGGAAGACGCGCTGCGTCTCCCAGCTGTCCCCGGAGCTTGCGGGGCTGGCGGCGGGGTCTCCCCGCCGCCAGCCTCCAAACCACTTCGGGAGACAGCGGGATGGCGGCGTTCCGCCTCCCTCTGTCCCCCGACCTTGTGGGGCTGGCGCTGGGGCTCTCCTGGCTTCAGTGAAAGCCTGCATTCGCCCCATAAGACGCACACACATTTCCCCTTCATTTTGGGAGGGGGAAAAGTGCGTCCTATAGGGCGAAAAATACGGTACCTAGATTTTGGATGAGGAAAACAAGAAAAAAAATATTCTGAATCCCAGAACCCAGAACAGCAAGAGGGATCTGGCTTCTGGGATAGCCTCTTGCTGTTCTGGCTTCTGGGATAGCCACGCACAGCCTCTCCCGGACAGCGGGATGAAGGCTCCCCCTGCCCGGAAGAGGCTGCGCTCAGCTGTTCTGGCTTCTGGGATAGCTGCTGTCAGGGGTTCAGGAGCAGAGGCAAGGGCAAGGGAGGAAACAGAGAGCGAGGGGGAGGAGGCAGAAGAAAAGATGAGTGATGACGACGACCCGAGATCTCCGAGTCTTTCCAGTGAATCAGAAGATTCACAGAAAGGAGCACCAGTGGCCAGGGCAAGGGGGGAGACTAGGGGGACACCCCAGGAAGATAGAGCCAGAGGGGACTCAGAGGAGAGCAGTTGGAAATCGGGACCAGCGTCACCGCCAGAGAGCAGGGAAGAGGAAGGGCGCCAGGGATCAAGCGCTGGCAGCTCACAACAGGAGGGAGGGCACGAGTCAGGAGTGGCCACACCTCCATCGGGGAGCGAAGAAACGGTTAGACGGAAGGTGGAAGGTTGGGCGCGCGCGCAAAGTTCAAAGGCACAGGAAGGTGGCGCAGTAGGCAGCCCGGAAAGGGAGCCAGGTCCTAAAGCCCGGCGCAAGGAGACAGGAGGGTCCGGGGGGTCAGCGTCAGAAGAGTCCAGGAAGGAAGAGACCCCGGGGGGCAGAAGGACCCAGAGAAGAACAGTCAGGCGGAAAAGGTGGGACAGGGCTAGGATATTAAGTTGGTGTACAGGGGGCGGAGACTCAGACGGAGCTTCGCCGGTCTAGCCATTAGACGTAGAGTTGCACGCAGCAGCTTGGAAATGGAAACTGTAACTCAATAAAGACTTTTATAAAGCGAACGCTGGCTAGCGTGATCCTCTGTGAGCTAGGATCGGAGAGCAGCTCTGACAGCTGCGCAGCCTGCATTTGCTGCATAAGGCGCACACACATTTCCCCTTACTTTTTAGGAGGGAAAAGGTGCGTCTTATAGAGCAAAAAAGATGGTATTTGGAATGCTTAACGTGCACACACAACTTGGAATGTTATCTCACACTTGGTATTTATTACCCCTGCTATGCAAAACTCTCCAAATGAATCCGAACTTCAATGTCTAAAATCCCTGATAGAGGACAAGGACCCTGAGATCACATTAAGGGTAGCCAAATTCTGTGCGATTGCCATAAAACTTAGGGAACAAGCTGTGCTATCATAATGATTAAGGTTTTAAATGATAATTTTAGGTTATATGTTAGTGACTAAGTTTTAATTTATATATTTTTTAACTGTTGCTATATCTGTATTGTCCCTGTTATACCTAATTGCAAATTCAAATGTATCCCTATTGTGTTTTATGACCTCCTTGATATTGTATGTGGGCTGGAACTGGTCTGTGACCGAAATAATAAAATTCATTCATTCATCTCACTTTGAGTTCCTTGTGGGAACGCAAGCAGATCTGTTCACAACAGGCAAAAATGATGCTTGGCTCCCACCCCTCTTATTTAAAGTTCAGCAAAAAGGAGATCAGGATCTAGTCTGGGAAACTTGCAGTAGATCAGCAAGGATTTACAACTCCCTTTGTGTTATCTTGTTTTTTTAGCAGTGATAACAAAAGGTTTTCCCTTCCTTGTAAGTTAGGCTGCTGAGATGAAGAAATCTGCTATGGGTAAGGGGAAGACCAGGAGTGATCTTGTGTGTGAAACAGCTGCAAATTTAGTTCTGGTATTGTCTTTGTTGTTTAGTCGTGTCCGACTCTTCGTGACCCCCTGGACCAGAGCACGCCAGGCACTCCTGTCTTCCACTGCCTCCCGCAGTTTGGTCAAACTCATGCTGGTAGCTTCGAGAACACTGTCCAACCATCTCGTCCTCTGTCGTCCCCTTCTCCTTGTGCCCTCCATCTTTCCCAACATCAGGCTCTTTTCCAGGGAGTCTTCTCTTCTCATGAGGTGGCCAAAGTATTGGAGCCTCAGCTTCAGGATCTGTCCTTCCAGTGAGCACTCAAGGCTGATTTCCTTCAGAATGGAGAGGTTTGATCTTCTTGCAGTCCATGGGACTCTCAAGAGTCTCCTCCAGCACCATAATTCAAAAGCATCAATTATTTGGCGATCAGCCTTCTTTATGGCCCAGTTCTCACTTCCATGCATCACTACTGGGAAAACCGTAGCTTTAACTATGTGGACCTTTGTTGGCAAGGTGATGTCTCAGGGTTCTTAGTAAAAAAAAGCAGATGCAGAATCTGCCCTGTAATATAAAACCACAAACCTCGTTTCCCCAAAAATCAACCCCTATTTCGCCTTACCCTCTGGAAGGAAGAGCTTGGTGTGCAGAAGGTCATCAAGAAGAGGCACCTCTGGAGGGGAAGGGAGACTGGCCTCCTTGCAAGCAGCTGTGTCCCCCTCTGACAGTTTTTTCTCGCACATCACCAAAGTGCTGAAGGCTCGGTTGGCCGCGTCAGAGGAAACCTGAAGTCAAGAGCCCGGGAACGTGATTTGCAAAGGGGAGTAAACAGGCTACCCTTTTCCTCGTCCGGCCTCCAGCCTAAACAACCATCCATGGGGTCGTCACAGTTGAGGTTGTGCATCCCTTGGCAAAAGTGGGCCAGAGACAGAGAGCAACTGCATCAGATCTGACACCGCTTAAGGTAGCTTAAGTGCGACCCAAGTTCTGCAGAGTGCTAAGGAGATCCGTGGAGGAAAGCTACAAATGCTGTTAGACTCCATCACCCATCAGTCCCAACTAGCATGGCCAACAGTTGGGAATGATGGGAACTGTAGTCCAGCAGCAACACTGATTCCTCATCCCTATAGTCTCCTCTTATTTTATTCTACCACAGGGGTCAGCAAACTTTTTCAGCAGGGGGCCAGTCCACTGTCCCTTGGACCTTGTGGGGGGCTGGACTATATGGGTGTGTGTGAACAAATTCCTATGCCCCACAAATAACCCAGAGATGCATTTTAAATAAAAGGACACATTCTACTCATGTAAATACATGCTGATTCCTGGACCATCCACGGGCCAGATTAAGAAGGTGATTGGGTCGTATATCGCCCCCGGGGCCTTAGTTTCCCTACCCATGTTCTACCACAATGCAGATTAAATGCAGACTGACTTCAGCATCAAACCAGCTTTCTAGCCGCCTCACCTCCAAATTCTGCTTACCACCCCCGCTGGAAGAGTTTTGGAGAACTTTTGTGACATTTGGGCTGGTCCTAATACCAGCTAACATTGAGTCCCCAACTGGAAATTGCCCCCCCTCTAAATAGCTCAGTGTTGCTTCCTTCCTCTTCTGTTAAAGAAAGTTAGATCCTGCCTTAGTGAATTTGTCAATCCATCTGTAGGCATTGTGTTGTTTAGATACCTGCTGAAAGCTTTTTAAAAATTATTATTACAGCAAGCCTACACAGACATACAATTTAGTCTATGATTTAAAGGTTTTGTTGATTTTGTCTTGCATATACTTTTCTGAACAGTTTTGGGGATTTTAGCAGCATTTTATCAACAATTTTCTTATGTTTGCACTTCTTAGATGGTTTTATGATTAAGTGGTCTATAAGTCTTCCTAACTCTCTCTCTCTCCATATATATATATAAAGGTACCCCTGCCCGTACGGGCCAGTCTTGCCAGGCTCTAGGGTTGTGCGCCCATCTCACTCAAGAGGCCGGGGGCCAGCGCTGTCCGCAGACACTTCCAGGTCACGTGGCCAGCGTGACATCGCTGCTCTGGCGAGCCAGAGCCACACACGGAAACGCCGTTTACCTTCCCGCTAGAAAGCGGTCCCTATTTATCTACTTGCACCCAGGGGTGCTTTCGAACTGCTAGGTTGGCAGGCGCTGGGACCGAACAATGGGAGCGCACCCCGCCGCGGGGATTCGAACCGCCGACCATGCGATCGGCAAGTCCTAGGCGCTGAGGCTTTTACCCACAGCGCCACCCGCGTCCCTACATATATATATATACGTATGTGTGTATATATATATATATATGTGTGTGTGTGTGTGTGTGAGAGAGAGAGAGAGAATGAATTGCTTGAGCAATAGAGAACAGCTTCTGTATGGAAAAGCAAGAATCTAGTTCTCATGCTTGAAGAGACAATTTACATGCCAGGGTTATTCAAGTCCCAGAAACAAAAAGTCTAGGCTTTTGGGTGCAGGGACTGAACAAGACTCAGTCATGAGTCTCAATGCCCTACATATCATCTTCAGATCCTTGACTTTTCCAAGCCCAAATCTATCCATGAGCAAAACCAACCAACCAACCTATACACAACAGCATGTCTCATTTATCTTTCTTCTTGTAAAAAGCTTAGAGGTGGGTTTTTGTTTTTTGTTTTTACAATCAAGCGGTAAAGAAATGTTATTAAATCGATCAGTCTACACCTGTGAGCACTGAATTTGGGGTGCTTTAGCACATGGTGCTGGAGGAAACCCCCCCACTTACCTGCAAGATCACCCCCAGGGCATTTCGGTGCTCTTGATTTTTCACCACGATCACCCGTCCCACGGAAAGGGCCTTCAGTCCGTTCATTGACTCCATGACTCGCCTCTGAAAGTGAGAAACAGGTAGAGGACGACACACAAGCAAACAGCACCCTTAGGTCACCATAACTGGAATTCTAAAACAGAAAGACCTTGTGCTCTGTTTCCAAGTTTTCTTCCAAAGTAGCCAGTCCTGTATCCACAACTTTGAGGAGCAGGAAAGATGCTGGATCCAAACCCTTCCCTGCTCCAAAAAGTCTTTCTCCTTCCTATAGACATAAGCGAAGTCAGAGGAAGGCAACCCATGGTCCCTCTCGCATCAAGATGCTTTTAAATCTTGAGACCTTCGGCGAACGTTCAGAACAGAAGCAAACTGTAGTCTTCTTGGTTGTGGAGGTGAATGTGCAACAGCAACTTCATTTCAATTATATATATATATAATTAGATTTTCTGTTTTACAATTTAAAATACTCATTTAAGCAACCTTACATTATCAGTGACTTCCCTTCTCTTTCTGTGGTTCATTTTGCATACCATAAACCCCTGCATACTTTACATGAACTAAACCATTCAGTATTCCATTGTTAGATCCATCAAAACTTATTTACATTGTTGAATTTACCTTAATGCTGCCATCATTTTCAAGTGTACACAATTCCCCCCCCCCATATATTCAGTAAACATTTTCCAATCTTCTTTCACCATACGTTCTTCTTGTTCTCTTATTCCATACGTTAAATCTGCAAGCTGGGCGTATTCCATCAGCTTAAGTTGCCATTCTTCTTTAGTTTGGGCCCTTTTGGCAAAGGGGGCAAAGATCCCATGGGTTGTTCTCTCTATTTCCCCATGTCCAGGTGTAAGAGCTGTTGCTTACATGGTATTGTTTATGCCAAAGAGGGAGACACTGAGGTCCAGCGCTGAGGGCCTTCTGGCGGTTCCCTCACTGCGAGGTTACAGGGAACCAGGCAGAGGGCCTTCTTGGTAGTGGTGCCTGCCCTGTGGAACACCCTCCCAGCAGATGTCAAGGCAATAAACAACTAAACAACTATTTTACTTTTAAAAGACAACTGAAGGCGGCCCTGTTTAGGAAAGTTTTTAATGTCCGATGCTGTATTGTTTTTAATATTCAATGGAAGCCACCCAGAGTGGCTGGGGAAACCCAGCCAGATGGGCAGGGTATGTATGTATGTATGTATAAATAAATAAAAATAATTATATCAGGCTTCCGGTTTGTTTGAAGAACAAAGGGACTTTAGTAAAAAACAAGCAAACAAACCTTCATAGGGACACCCACACGACCCAAAACAGCCCAATGGAGACTAAGAACGCTCTGCAGCCATGGAATACCGGCAGACTGTGGGCATTTTGGGGTGGATGGGAGAAAACTCAGGTGGGAGAGGAGAAACGGAATGGAGTATCTTGAGAAGGGCCTGGCTGACATGGCTGGCACAGTGAGCACTCACACTACAGCCCTGTGAGCAGGTTTAAGCTTGTGCCCCCTGAAAAAAGGGGGAAGAGATTATCCCTCTTGTCAACACCTCCTGATCCTCAAGTGTCTCTCCTCCTAGATGAGACCCGAAAACTCCAAGTGGGGAAGCACCAACACATTCTTATTTCCCTTCCTGTTCCAAGGAGAGCCAGGGCATGAGGCTGCCTGAATGCCCACAGCTGATCCCTCTCATTGAACAAAGCAAGCCATCCTATCCCAGAGCGTCTCATGGGGAACGCTGCAGCTTGAGCACTCTACCTTGGGCAGACGCACCAACAGCACCACCTAGAGGCACTGGGCGATACTGTCTAGCCCATGGGTCAGTCAACTCCAAAACTACGGCCACTCTCCGAGAGGGCAGAGCTCTGCACCACTGTTCCCCAGATCTCCTCCCCCCCAAAATTGGCACCTGTATGAGTTCCCGGGTCTCCTGTAGCTCTCGGACCACGTGATAATACTCCTCTAAGTCGCCAAGCTGTCCCGACAGATCTGAGGCTTCCATGTTGGCCAAGACGCAGCTCAGCTGGGCAATCCTGTGTTCGTGGACCTAGGAGGGAAGGGGGTCAGGGAAGGTGGAGCGATGTGAAGAGGGAAAGCCCCAGACGCAAGACATAAGGGAGCCTGGACAGACAGCACCCGCAGGTTAGCGGAGGATGTGTTCTTGGCAAACAGAATGCTTCTAGCTTCATTCCCTGGCAGCAGGCAGACAACACTGGGCTAAATAGACTAATTGCCTGATCCACTTCTAAAATTCTCATGTGTACACCATGCTGATCTTCAATCAGCTGTTTCTTCCCCACGTTCCCGACTCGGTCTGACCCTTATGTTTGCCTCCCCTTATGGTCTTGATTTATCAGCTACTTTAAAATGAGGTTGCATTTTAAATTGCATTTTAACCTGTATTTTAAATTTGTCCCCCCCCCTCTTTCCCCCCTATTGTTTTTACTGTGATTTTATTGGTGTTAGCCGCCCTGAGCCTAGCTCTGGCCAGGGAGGGCGGGGTATAAATAAAATTTATTATTATTTATTATTATTATCTGGCTTCTTACATATTTGCATGCAGACCTCCATCAAACATGGAAGGGGAGCCTGCAGCCCTGCAAACGTTATTGGACTCCTAAGCCTCCCATCAGCCAGGATAGCTGACCAGGAATTATGGGAGTTGTCCAGCAACATCCAGGGAGGCATAAATTCCTAGCCCTGATCTACAATTCCCCTCTTATTCCTTTGCTCCTCCCATACAGCCTTGGACCTGTAGGGTGTGTGTGTGTGTGTGTGTGTGTGTGTGTGTTTGTGTGTGTTGTGATAGGAATTTTGAGGTCTTAAATATATGGTAGTGTTCATAAGTGTACCAACCAAGCACGTAGATAGATCAGCACAGGAAGACCGACCTGGAACCATTTTGATTCCCAAACTGACCAAATGTTTTCCCTGCAAGGAGGGAGGAGGGTCAGGGAGCCTTCCCATTGTCTCAGGAATTGAGTAATCAGGATTTTAATGGGTGACAGACTATCAGGAAAGACAATCAGGAAAGGCAAGCAGATAACCTGGCAAACAGGAAAAATAACATTCAAATTTCTGTTTTAGACCGCCTTTTCTGTGATGTAGGTATGATGTATCTGGGAGGTGGTCTTAGGTTACACCCCTTCTGTGATGTTTCTATGATGTTTCTGGGGGTGGTCTTGATCTACAGGGTGGCAATTTCAAAAGTCTTTGTAAGACCTTGCGCACCATTGTTCTGGGTTCCTCCTCCCTCCTTCGTCTGGTGAGTGAGGACACTGTTGCAACAGATCAATAAAGATCAGGCTTACTAGCTGCTTTGCTTCTCAATATTCTCTGGTTGGCCTCTGTTATTTTCTCCTACCAATAGGGAACCCACTTAAGGACTCTATATGGGCTCTTGTGTCCCCCATAAGGGAAAAGGGCAATTTTTGTTTACAACAGTGTTTAAGATCCTTACATGACAGGAGTTCCGGCTGCTGCCCAACTCATGCCCTGGACCAAGTGTCCTCAAGTCAGATCTGGTTACGACACCTGCACTTTCTTCTGTTCCCCAGGGAGCCACATACTGGTTGGCCACAGAGGAATGGTGGGAGACCCCAGCTGGGGAACCCTCAAGGGAAGAAGGTGGCACAGTGCCCAGGGAGTGGTCAGGCAGAGAAGAGGGCGCAGACTGGGAAGAGGCGGGTTGGAAGCTAAAGGGGTAACAAGGCTTCGTGAGCTGAGAGGAGTCTGCGGCAGAGAGAAGTCCAGAATCAGTAGAGGCTGGAGAGGAGGGGTGTGTGCAATGAGTCTGGCTGGGGAAGAGGCGCGGGTGTCTCCCCTCCATGCTTGTCTCCCAGAACAAGTAGAGGCATGAAAAGGGCAGAGGAGAGATTGGTGATGCACAGGCAAAGTCTCAGATTGCTAGGAAATAAACTGGGGTGGGGGTGGCCACTTAGGCAGCTGTGGGGTCCTTCAGTCCCAGCACCTGTTTGATGAGAGCAAGACCTACTAGAGATGAGTTACTGCGCTCATTAGGCCTGACACTCCTGTGCGGAACATAATTTTGTTAATAATGATTTAACTCCAACTTGCACGGCGTGGTGTGACTAGCTGCCGGCTCGCTTCTGACACCCACTCTCTCCAGAGACCTACCTTGCTGTCCTTCCGGGTGTGGAACTCGGAGAAGCTCCTCTTCATCATGTCCTCCACGCGAAGGGCTTCTACTCTCAGCAGGTTGAGGATCATGGTGTAGGTGAGGCGGAACTGGGACTGCAGCTGGGTGGGTTTGCCCTGGAGGGACAGAGGAGGAGAGCTGGGAGAGGAAGGCAGCAAAGCTGTTTTCCCCAAATGCCTCTGCTCTCACAGGTTTCGCATAGGGGGCCTCTGCCTTGCTGGACTAGGCGGGGCATTTGCCTGAACCAGCTACAGGGTTCTTCTTCATGACCTTAAGGCCCTTCTAGGAAGCCTATATACCAACAAGCAGTAATAATAAAATTAATAATAATTTATTATTTCTACCCTGCCCATCTGGCTGTAGAAATCCATCTAGCTTTCTCATGCTAAATAAATATTGTGCTAAATAAACTACAGTGGTACTTCAGGTTACGTACTTAATTCGTTCCGGAGGTCCGTTCTTAACCTGAAACTGTTCTTAACCTGAAGCACCACTTTAGCTAATGGGGCCTCCTGCTGCCGCTGTGCCGCCGGAGCACAATTTCTGTTCTCATCCTGAAGCAAAGTTCTTAACCTGGAGCACTATTACTAGGTTAGCGGAGTCTGTAACCTGAAGCGTATGTAACCTGAAGTGTATGTAACCCGAGGTACCACTGTATTTACTTATTGCATTTATATCTCACCCTTTCCTCCAAGGAGGTCAAGGAGGAGCACGTAGTCCTCCTCCTCCCCATTTTATCCTCACAACAACCCTGTAAGGTAGTTTTGACTGAGAGCGAGTGGCTGGCCCAAAATCCCCCAGTGAGCTTTGTGATCAAGCCGTGACTTGAACCTGGTCTTCCAGGTCCTAGTCTAACCATGTTGATCAGCTAAAGTAGCTAAGAGCAACTTCTAAGGTCAGAAGCCTCGAAATACCAGTTGCCGAGACCAAAGGGATTCTGGTGGTCCTGCCCTCCTTGCAAGCTCTGGATTACATTTAGGCTTGACCCAGAAGGGAAGCTCTTACAATACGTTATTTCAGCCCTGACACTTTAAAGGACACCCCATTGCAGAATAATCTGGTGCAACAGGGATGGGAAACGGTTTGTGTGCATTTGTGTGCCTAACTCACCAACATCATCCGGTGAAGATCAGCCATCTCAGGTGCTTGGTTTTTGCACAAGATGATCACCATCCCCGTGGTGTCGAGACCTCGGCGTCCAGCTCGGCCTGCCATCTGGATGTACTCAGCTGTGCGAGAAAGAAACATGCACTTAGATGTTAGAATTCCTGCTCCGTGATTGCAGTCATGGGATTGTTGTCTACCCCATGACGGTACAGTGGTGCCTCGCAAGACAAAATTAATTCGTTCCGCGAGTTTTGTCGTCTTGCGATTTTTTCGTCTTGCGAAGCACGGTGTCGGAAAATTTTTGGAAAAGCTTCAAAAATCACCAAAGTCTTCAAAAACCTCAAAAAAGGCTACCACACCGCGTGCTATGAGTTGCTCCTTGAAGTCAAGTCGCAACTGTATTAACGGTGTTAAGAAAAAGGAAACAAACTTGCAAGACGTTTCCGTCTTGCGAAGCAAGCCCATAGGGAAAATAGTATTGCGAAGCAGCTCAAAAAACAAAAAACCCTTTCGTCTTGCGAGTTTTCCGTCTTGCGAGGCATTCGTCTTGCGAGGTACCACTGTATATGTTTTGACTCCACAAAGTAGGAAGTGACAGAGACAGGATGTTTGTGTTACTGTGTTTCGTGAAGTGGGACTATTGTCCTTTGCTCTTTTTCTCTTTGCTGTCTGATGCTAGAGAGAGAGGGAGCCATGTTGCAGTGCTCTGTGTGTGTTTATTTACATATAAATAAAGTAGATTAGCCAAAATGCTGAGTTGCTGAGGTCTGTCACACGAATTGCGCAGACTCTGCAGATCCCTAAGTGTGCCAGTGTCGGTTGGCATCAGTCGCTGTGATGTTCGGGCAGAAGAAAGCTTTTGAAGCTCCTGAATGAACAACCAGGAGGGAGATAACATGCCAGTCGGGCATGTGTCTCTACCAGGGTCCTACTCGAGAGTAGGACAAGCTCCTGCCATTAGATGGTTGGCACTGCGGTCAAAAGGGGCTCTTCAGTAAGTAATGGTTGCCAACTAGGAATCTATCCAGGCGGACAACAGTTCCTGCCTCAGCACCTGGGGTGAATGGCAGCTTGCTACCAGGTGAATCAATGAGCAACACCATGTCCGTATCTTGCTGCTGATACTAGACTTGCCGCTTGTAAGGTGAGACCTGCAGCTGGTAGCTTTGTAATTTATTGCAGGAGGGGAGGAACAACATTGCACGCACATCCCCAGTCTTAACATTTGGCCAGAAAGGAAGATGAGCAGCCACCACAGATCTGGCCTCATTCCTCTTTCTCCTGCAGCAATACAGCCAAGCTATCGCTGCTTGGGTGTCCACCATGAAAGCTATCAAGAAGAGCGTGTTCATCCCAGATTGGAACGGAGTCAGATGAAGCTGTGCTGAGAAAAAGACAGTTGGAAACATATATACAGTGGTACCTCGGGTTAAGAACTTAATTCGTTCCGGAGGTCTGTTCTTAAGCTGAAACTGTTCTTAACCTGAAGCACCACTTTAGCTAATGGGGCCTCCTGCTGCCGCCGCACCATTTCTGTTCTCATCCTGAGGTAAAGTTCTTAACCTGAGGTACTATTTCTGGGTTAGCGGAGTCTGTAACCCGAAGCGTACGTAACCTGAAACGTATGTAACCCGAGGTACCACTGTACCAACAAAGCAGTATTCGACGGATGAAAGTATATGATGTTTGACACGATTGTGAATCGTGGACTCAGGGAACGGAATTATAAAGCGTCAAAATTGAGATGTGGAAAATATGGAAACAACGAGGAGAGGCAGGACTGAGATGTGGAGATATGCTTCAGAGATCCAGACCGTGGGGAGCTCGAAAAATTAATAATTATAATTTGGTCTTTTTTAATTTTAGTTTTTTATTTTAATGGGAGCGTTATGATTGGATTGATATTAATTGGATGTTTTTTATTGTAAAATCAATAAAAATGATTTAAAAAAAGAAAGAAGAAGAGCTTGTTCAACAGTGGAACAGACTCCCTTGGAAACTCTCCTTCACTGGAGGTTTTTAAGCAGAGGTTGGGTGGCCAGCTGTTCTGGATGCTTCAGTTGAGATTCCTGCATTGTAGATGGTTGGACCATAGAATCATAGAATCATAGAGTTGGAAGAGACCACAAGGGCCATCGAGCCAAGCAGGAAACACCATCAGAGCACTCCTGACATGTGGTTGTCAAGCCTCTGCTTAAAGACCTCCAAAGAAGAAGACTCCACCACACTCCTTGGCAGCAAATTCCACTGTCAAACAGCTCTTACTGTCAGGAAGTTCTTCCTAATGTTTAGGTGGAATCTTCTTTCTTGTAGTTTGGATCCATTGCTCCGTGTCCGCTTCTCTGGAGCAGCAGAAAACAACCTTTCTCCCTCCTCTATGTGACATCCTTTTATATATTTGAACATGGCTATCATATCACCCCTTAACCTCCTCTTCTTCAGGCTAAACATGCCCAGCTCCCTTAGCCGTTCCTCATAAGGCATCCTTTCCAGGCCTTTGACCATTTTGGTTGCCCTCCTCTGGACACGTTCCAGTTTGTCAGTGTCCTTCTTGAACTGTGGTGCCCAGAACTGGACACAGTACTCCAGGTGAGGTCTGACCAGATGACCCTCAGGGTCCCTTCCAACTCTACAATTCTATAAGAAGCTAGAGAATAAAACGTGGGTAGAAAAACCCACAGAGGAACGGGGCGGGGCGGGGCAGGGAAATGATTAAATATGGAAGGAAAGCAAGCATTAAGGCCAGGGAGGTACTTTGCCACTGCGGTCTGCAAAACAGCTGCACGTGAAAGTTTCCTGCCCTCCCTCCGCTTTCCCTGTTACCTGGCACCAGATCCCGGAAGTTTGTGCCGTCGTGTTTGCGGATCGAATCAAAGACCACTGTCCTTGCCGGCATGTTCACTCCCATGGCGAAAGTCTCAGTGGCAAAGAGGATCTGAATCAAGAACAATGGAGAAAAATGTTGTCAAGTTGCTCCTTATGTTTGTCCCCTGCCCACTGCCGGCTTCGCCTTTGAGCTGGTGCCAATGACTGGGCTCAACCTCTTCTGCCCCGACTGGGCCAGGCGAGCTGGGAAGCACTTCCAGAGACCTTCCACTGCTGGAGAGCAGGTCTAAGTGCAATGGACTCACAGCTTAGAGCTGTGAGCACCAAACTCAGTGCCAAAGTCAGCAGAGCACAGTGGAGTATGAACTACACCAACGACGGCTCTGAAGCATAAATTCTTTATTCTTTTACAGCTACTGCAAACTGAAAAATAAACTAGAAACTAAACACTGGACGGCATGAGTGTTACAGTTGCTTAAGCAGTCATCTTATCTCTACACAGGTAACACTCAAGACTCCCACAGAGTCAGGCTGGAGCGGAAGAAGCGATGTGCAGATTCCGCCCCCTCCTTTCTGAAAACATTGTCAGGAGATTCTTGCAACGGGAGGGGTGAAATATCCACCCCCACCCCCCAACCGTTCCATTTCTTTTAATTATTATTTTTTACATTTTCATCTCGTTTTCCCTCCAAGAAACTCAAGGTAGCACGTAGGAGGTCTCCGCCCTTTCATCCTCACCTTGTGGGCATTATTATTATTATTATTATTATTATTATTATTATTATTATTATTGCCCCACCCATCTGGCTGGGTTTCTCCAGCCACTTTGGGTGGCTCCCAACAGAATATTAAAAACACAATAAAACATCAGACATTAAAAAATTCCCAATACAGAGCTGCCTTCAGGTGTCTTCTAAAAGTCAGATAGTTTTTTATTTCCTTGACATCTGGTGGGAGGGCGTTCCACAGGGCGGGCGCCACCACCAAGAAGGCCCTCTGCCTGGTTCCCTGTAACCTCGCTTCTCGCAGTGAAGGAACCGCCAGAAGGCCCTCGGAGATGGACCTCAGTGTCCGGGCTAGACGATGGGGGTGGAGACGCTTGTGGCCAAGTGGGAACAGGAACCTGTGTCCACTTCAGGTAGTATCCACACTTTAAACCGTCACGGCTTCCCCCCCAAGAATCCTGGGAAATGTTAAGGGTGCAGAGCGTTGTTGGGAGACTTGCTCACAGAGCTACACCCTCCACAAACTACAGCTCCTGGGATTCTTTGGGGGGAAGTCATGACTGCTAAAAGAGGCATAAGAGTGCGGATGTGACCCCAGTCTGAGTCTAGCACTCTTAACAGCCACACGGCGGTGCCTCTCCAAAGTATAAGCTCAGAGGACTCACCTTGACAAGGCCTTTGCTGAACAGCATCTCCACCACTTCCTTTAGGATGGGCAGGATGCCGCTGTGATGCACCCCAATGCCTCGCTTCAAGAGATCCACCATATGAAGGACCTGGAAGAACAGCAACCGGGCTGTTAAAACACTGTTAAAAAAAGACAAGGCCCGGCAGCCCCTTCCCTATTGCTTCCAAGAAGCTCATCACCATCTTGGATTTCTCTACTGAAAGAGGCTGTCAAGAAACTCCTTGGAAATAACGTCTATACAACTCTGGCGGCCATGTTGATGCTTAGGCTTGCGAGACAACTTGGGAGCGGCAGCCATTTTGAAGTCTTAACCCAGGCCTTGGAGGGGCGGTGGCTGTTGAAATCCAAGGTGGGCCAAGTCCAAGGTGCTGGTACAGTGGTACCTCGGGTTAAGAACTTAATTTGTTCTGGAGGTCCGTTCTTAACCTGAAACTGTTCTTAACCTGAGGTACCACTTTAGCTAATGGGGCCTCCCGCTGCCCCGTGCTGCCACTGTGCGATTTCTGTTCTCATCCTGAAGCAAAGTTCTTAACCTGAGGTACTATTTCTGGGTTAGTGGAGTCTGTAACCTGAAGTGTCTGTAACCTGATGCACCTGTAACCCAATGTACCACTGTACTAACGTATAAAGCCCATAACAAAATAATAATACACCCCGTGCCTCACACTGGCAAAGACAAAGAGTGGTCTCCAATGTTAGTTCTACTCAGAGAAGAGCCGGTGAAATTAAGGGCGATGGCTCACTTTGGTTTCTTCATTTCAATGGCTCTACCCTGAGAGGAACTGAATTGGATGCAACCTGAAGTACACGGTCTCTTTCTTCCTCCTTCCTGGTATCTACTCCACCTCTTGGAAGCCATGTTTTCCACACCCAGTCCCTTTCCCACATCAACACAAAGAGGCCACAATGCTCTACTCTGCCTTGCAGTCCTGATGAGACGGGACAGCCTCTTGAGAAAACAGCAGGCATTCACTATCTGCATTTTCTGGAAAGAAGACGTTTCCGTTCCAACAAGCTTTCTCAATAGGTCTCTGCTATAGGTGTCAATTTTGTGTGTGTGTGTGTTTTAAACACAACTTCCCGTCATTTTTTGTACTGTTGTTGTTAAAAGGCTCTTTTTCATTATTATGTTTCAAGAAGTAACTTTCTCCCAAGAAGGGAAGAGCACCGTTCTTGGAGGTACTGCAATACCTGGCTGATGTATGGAGTGGATGGGGCAAGCCCCTATTCCATCTCCCAGCACCAAAAATCCTTTTAACGTACAGTGGTACCTTGGTTCCCGAATGGCTTAGTTGTTGAACAAATCGGCTCCCAAATGCCACAAACCTGGAAGTAAGTGTTCCGGTTTGTGAACGTTTTTCGGAAGCCGAATGTCCAACGTGGCTTCTATAGCTTCTGATTGAGTGCAGGAAGCTCCTGCAGCCAATCGGAAGCCGCACCTTGGTTTTCGAATGGTTTCAGGAGTTGAACAGACTCCTGGAACGGATTAAGTTCAACAACCAAGGTACCACTGTATAGTTCTCAGATGACATATCAGATATTAAACTGATAAGAACAGGTGCTACACTTGATCTTAGCCAAAAAGCCAAGAAGCAATATGAAACCAGCTTTTTAAAATTCTATATTGCACATCTCCTTGGGACACATGTGGAAGGCAATGAATAAATACTACTGACGCCGCTATCTAGCAGTCAAGTTGTTCCAAGGCATGGCTTTTCCTCCCTGGGCAGCGAAGCTGTTTGGAGGCCCGGTTCCCCTGAGCAACCCTAAAACTGAAGAGACACCTTCATGCCAAGAGGCCCAGCGCCCTGTGCGTCTTGCCGCAAAGCCAACCACTCGCTGCCCCACTCTCTGACCTGAGGCAGCTGGCGGTCTGTGCCCTTCAGGCGGGAGATGCACTTCTGGAAGAAGACGTGGATCTCGCTCTTCTCGTTCGTCGTGGTCAGGTTGACGGTGGTGAGCATGGAGGCGTTGTCGTCGCAGCGGTTGCGGGAGAAGGTGAAGGCCACCACGGGCAGCTGGTCCTTCTTGCGCAGCATGTCGATGAGGGAGAGCCAGATGTTCTTGTCCTGAGGGCAACGCCACAGGTTAACTTGGCTTGGGGCCTAGGCCGGCATCCTGGACTACAAGTCCCATCAGCCTCCGCCACCATGGCCACACTCACCTATCTTTTTTTTAAAAAAAAATATGCTTTTTATTAAGTTTTCATTTTAAATACACCAACATCAACAAACAAAAATGTCAAGTCTTTTTACATGTATCTTATTTTGTGCTCCATAGAGCCACTGACTTCCCTCCTTCCCTTCCGCAGGTTTTCTTATTCCAATCTTTAATTCACAGTTTCATTAGTAAAAGACTAAACCATGACATAAGATTTATTTCAGTCCTGCTAACGTCTTCAAATTTCTACAGTTCTCACTTATATAGACCATAAATTTACTCCATTCCTTTTGGTACTTTGTCTCCTCCTGTCTGCGAATCCTATGTGTCAGTTTTGCTAGTTCCGTGTACTGGACCAACTTTGTCCGCCAATCTCCTGTGTTTTCCATTTTTAGGCTATCAGAACTCTGGCTGCTGTCGTAGCATACAAATACAGTCTTTGGTCTATCTTCTTAATATCCTCTCCTATCAAACCTAGTAGTAGTTCTTCAGGCTTTTTTGGGAAAGTATATTTAAACATCTTTTTAAATTCATTATAGATCAATTCCCAAAACTCTTTCATTTTGTCACATGTCCACCACATGTGGTAAAACTCACCGTCCTTTTCTTTACATTTCCAACAGATTTTGCTACTCATCCTATCCATTTTTGCTAGTTTGGTGGGAGTAAGATACCAGTGATAAACCATTTTCATTACGTTCTCTTTTAAAGTAGAGCATGCAGTAAATTTTAAATTCTCATTCCAAAGTTTGACCCATGCATCATATTCTATATTGTGCCCAAAGTCTATTGCCCATAGGCCACACTCACCTATCAAGGATCCCACACGCCAAAAGGCGCCCCCACCCTTGTTTTAAAAAAGCTATGCCAAAGGGGAAGTGGTGACATTAGGTCCTAATGAACCCATTCTCCATTGCCCTTCCTGTTACAACACACAGCAACACTGGGTCATTTTATGTATTTATTGATGCCGGGGGGGGGGGGAGGGGAGGCAAAACCTATTTGGTGTTTCGCAACTTTCTGACTAGTTGCAGGACCTTAGCCAGACCTAGCAGAGTACACACAGAATCCACGGAAGCAATTGGCGACTTGGCTGCAGACAGGATAGAGGAAGCAGGAACCAGGAACTTGTAGTTAGGTGTTTATTATATACAGTGACTATTTACAGGAACAGAACACGGATCTTATGCTAGCTCTCTGACACGACTCACAACTCCTACACTGACACAGAACTCTGAACCTCTGAACTCACACATTCCAGTTAGTAGGCCATTAATTATCACTCCCTTGAGAGAGCTTGACCAATCAGGGAGCTGTCTCCATGTCTCTGTTATCACCAGGCAGACTTACTCCTTCAGATTGCCTTCTGGCTGTCTGCCAAACCTTAATTGACTCTGTGTGAGTAGCTGCACATACACAGATTCCCAACAGGCCAGCATCAAACCCCCTCCCTCCCAGGTCTGCAATGAACCTGGCCCAGCGTACCTGGCCTGCCCCAGCCCCTGGGTGCATGGGCTGCTTGGCCCCGAAGGTCTGGGAATGCTTGCTGGCCCGTTCCTTCTTGGCATCCACAGCATCGTAATACCTGGAGGATTCGTTTGGAAGGGGAGAAAGGGGCGAGAGGAAACACAACCAAGGCGTATAAAGTTACACATGGTGTTTGGGAAAGGGGACAGAGGTTTTTTTCTCTCAGAAACACTCCACGCCATCCAGTGGAGCTGAGCATTGGAAGGTCAACTTTTTTTGCTGCCTGAGGCAAAGGACAAGATGGCCGCTGCTCCCAGTTCCATAGCTAAACCAGAAGCTGAATCTTACTTCAATACTGGCAACAGGACAGCACCCCTCGCCCCACCACATATATGGGGAGCAAGTTCACTCAGGGCAGGCTGTGAGTGGCACATGCAATCTCTGCCCTTCCGATGCCTTGCCACCATTCCCCCAACCATCCCTGAGCATCAGCCACCTGAGGCAACTGCTTCACTCGGCCTACCGACAGGGCCGGCCCCACGGAGGGTTCCGGCCAGCCAAAGGAAGGATTCATTCATAAAGCACACCAAGTTTAGGGGTTTTGGACAAATTAATGGAGAGCAGCCACAGCTACTGGTCATGATGGCTATATATCACAAGCCAACATCAAGGGTAGAATACCAGAGTTGTTGGGACTCGCAAGTGGGGAAAGCGGCTTTTGTGCTCAGGTTCTGCTTCCAAGATACCAATAGCTTGGACAGTAAGAGGCTGAACTATTTGTCTGATCCATCATCATCATCATCATCATCATTATTATTATTATTATTCTCACTTTATGTACGTAAACAAAGGGTGGATAAGACATTATTCCACGGACTACAAGTAAAAAAAGAGAAAAAAGGAGGAAAGGGGATGGGGTGCCATTTTCGGCTTGTCTCAGGCAGGAAGAGAGTGTCTTGGGCCGGGGTTGGAGTAAACCTAAGGCATGGTTAACAAGCCAACCTGATGCCAGAGGTAGCCAATGCCATGCCCTCCTGACCTTCCTGGACTACAACTCCCATCATCCCAACCGTCGGCCACACCGGCTTCCCTTTCCCTGCCCTGTTTTACAAGGCCATGCCCCTGCCATTTAGATGGACTAAGTGAGTTTCTTCTGGAGACAAGACCATTAAAGTGCAATTATTGGGCTTATTACACTTTTGGCCACCGAGGTGGGGTGGGGGCTGCCGTTTGGCTTCCCGCCAGCCGCCAAGACGCTCTGCCAGCGCATCGGCCCTCACCCCTTGGTCAGGAACGTGCCGCGGGCGTCGACCAGCAGGAAGAGCTCGTTCTGCGTTTTCTGGCTGTTGCCTGTGTACAGGTAATGTTCCAGCGGGACGGGGCGCTTCAGGGTGCTGATCACGTAGATTTTCTTTCTCTTGATCCTCCTGCAAAGAGAGAAGGAGGCCCAGCATGGCTGAGTTGCAGGCTTCCTGCTTGCGGACTCTCCTGTTTCCCCCAGCTCACCCAAGGCACACCTCTACGCGGCAGATGCTGGCGTGATAGATATGATGGTACTGCAAGGGGGAGGAGCCCTCCTTTATCCCTTCTGGGCCACCTTCCAATGGGAGACAGGCAAGGAAGGGGTGGGCGGGGCAACAAATGCAAATTTTGCATTTGTACAATCAGCTGGCTTCTAGATGTGCTCACAGACACCCCTCTGTGTCTTCCATACAGGCAAGCAAGAGCTGTCCCAGAAACTCCAGCGGGTGCAGAATGCTGCAGTGAGGCTCCTCACGGGGTCTCTGCCATGGGAGCATATTCACCCAGTGCTTTTCAAGCTGCACTGGCTCCCGGTGGAGTATAGGGTCAGGTTTAAGGTGCTGGTCTTGACCTTTAAAGCCCTTCACGGCCTAGGACCCTCGTACCTACGGGACCACCTCTCCCGGTATTCCCCACAGAGAGCCTCAAGGTCCATAAATAACAACACCCTAGTGGTCCCGGGCCCTAAGGAAGTTATAGATTAGCTTCAACCAGAGCCAGGGCCTTTTCAACACTGGTGGAACACTCTGCCTCATGAGACCAGGGCCCTGCAGGATCTGATTTCTTTCCACCTGGCCTTTGGCCTGGGGCCCATTTGATTCCCTCCCCCTCTTTCTTTTTCCTTTCTCCTCCTGCGCTGAGGCTACATTTTACTATTTTAATGTTGTATTTTAATTTTGTCTTTAAGTTGTATTCATTCAACTTGTTTTTATTATTGCTTGTTAGCCGCCCTGAGCCCGGCCTTGGCTGGGGAGGGCGGGGTATAAATAAAAATTAATTATTAATTATTATTATTATTATTATTATTATTGACAGAGTTTAAGGCCACATCCCAGCCAGTGGGAAGCACTTAAGGAGGGTGTGGAGCAGCTCCCATCAAGGGTGGGACCTGGTGAGGGGGTGGGGCCTGTGAAAAGTCCCTAGGCTGCTGCTGCTGCTGAAGTTTCCCATCCCTGCTGGCAGGCCTGAGCCTGCAGTAAATTGCACCAAGCAAGTTGGAGTGACCTCTTTCATTAGCAAAAACAGACTTGGCAGGATGTCAGGCCTAATGAGCACACCATTATAGAAGAGTTTGGATTTGATACCCCGCCTTTCACTCCCTTTAAGGAGTCTCAAAGCGGCTAACATTCTCCTTTCCCTTCCTCCCCCACAACAAACACTCTGTGAGGTGAGTGGGGCTGAGAGACTTCAGAGAAGTGTGACTAGCCCAAGGCAGCTGCATGTGGAGGAGCGGGGAATCAAACCCGGTTCCCCAGATTATGAGACTACCGCTCTTAACCACTACACCACACTGGCTCTCATCTTTGGTAGGTCTTGCCCCTATGAAGCAGTTGCTGAGACTAAAGGGCACCGCTTCCCCACAGCTGCCTATGTCTCCTCCTCTTCAGGGTTCCCCCCAAGCAATCTGAGACTGCATGTCGCCAACATCTCCTCCGCCCTTTTCATGCCTCTTCTGGTCCTGGGACACCAGTGGGGAGGGGAGCTTGTTGTAGTAGGAAGGAGAGACACCTGAGCCTCGTCAGCAGCCTGCCTCATCTCTACCTCTTGGCCACCTCCTCTCCTGTTTCAGCTTCTGTGCTTGATTCTGGGCTTCTCTCTGCCACAACTCTCCTAGCTCACACCAAGCCCTGTTACCTCTTCAGCTCCCAACCATCCTCTCAGTCTTGTCCCTCTTCGCCTTCTGCCAAGTGTTGTCGTCCCACCACCACTCCCCGGGCTCTGAGCCTTCTTCCTTTGGGGGTTCCCCAGCTGCTCCCTCCCACCAATCCTCTGTGCCCAACCAAACATGACATTGGCTGTAGCACTTACTACTTACGGGACCGCCTCTCCTGGTATAGGGACGCGGGTGGCGCTGTGGGTTAAACCACAGAGCCTAGGACTTGCCGATCAGAAGGTTGGTGGTTCAAATCCCCGCGACGGGGTGAGCTCCCGTTGCTCGGTCCCTGCTCCTGCCCACCTAGCAGCTCAAAAGCACGTCAAAGTGCAAGTAGATAAATAGGTACCGCTCCAGCGGGAAGGTCAATGGCGTTTCTGTCATGTTGTCCACATGACCCGGAAGCTGTACGCCAGCTCCCTCGGCCAATAAAACGAGATGAGCGCCGCAACCCCAGAGTCGGCCACGACTGGACCTAATGGTCAGGGGTCCCTTTACCTTTACCTTTACTCTCCTGGTATGCCCCGCAGAGGACCTTAAAGTCCATGAATAATCATACTTTAGAGGTCCCGGGCCCTAAGTCAGATTATCCTCCACCAGGGCTAGGGCCTTTTCAGTGATGGCTCCAACCTGGTGGAATGCTGTGTCCCATGAGACTAGGGACTAGGGACTAGTCCTGCAGGACTTAACTTTCTTCCGCAGCATGTAAGACAGAGCTATTCCGCCTGGCTTTCAATTTGAACTTAGCCTGATCTTTTATTCCCCTTCCTTCCCTCCCCCTCCCCTTTTTATGAAGATTACCCGCTCTGGGATCCCACAGCTAATTCTCCCCTGGTCTTCTCACTGGCCCAGATAGGACTAATTTAGCCAGCTAGCCCTGGTGATCATCTAATGTTTATTGGATGGATTTCCCCTCTAAATTGATTTTTGAATTCTGAATTTATTGTTATTCACGTTTTATGCTGTTTTTTGTTGTATCACAATTATGTGTTTTAAATTTGTTGTTAGCCGCCCTGAGCCCAGTTTTCTGAACCAGAAAGGGCGGGGTATAAATAACATTTTATTATTATTTATTATTACTATTCTTTAATTGGCCGTTCATTAGGGTTTTCACATCCCATAAAAGCACTATGCTCCTTTATTCCCTCCCCAGCCCAGTCCCCTCCATCCCTCATCCCTCCCTCTTCCTAGAAACATAGAACTGCAGAGTTGGAAGGGACCCCCAAGGGCCATCTAGTCCAACCCCCTGAAACGCAGGAATCGCAGCACCAAGATTTTCGTTTCCGACTGCACCACTTCTTACCCTATCCAGTCAGCAAACTCCAAGGTGTTGGGGACGGTGGCACTCAGCAAAATTATGTTCACGTGGTCTGGCAGCATGATGAGAACCTCCTCCCAGACAACCCCACGCTGCAAGGGAACGGAAGAAATTAAGAAGACCTCTGCTCTGTCAGGCCCATGGCCGCCAGAAGGACCTGAGTACAACAACAAGATTCCCCCCTCCCCCCATTTTTCCAGGTTTCGTCCAGGCCTTCGCCATCTCTATTCTGGACTGTACCAGTTCAGAGTGGGACGCGGGTGGTGCTGTGGGTTAAACCACACAGCCTAGGACTTGCCGATCAGAAGGTCGGCGGTTCGAATCCCCATGACGGGGTGAGCTCCCGTTGCTCGGTCCCTGCTCCTGCCCACCTAGCAGTTCGAAAGCTCGTCAAAAGTGCAAGTAGATAAATAGGTAGTACTCCAGCGGGAAGGTAAACGGTGTTTCCGTGCGCTGCTCTGGTTCGCCAGAAGCGGCTTAGTCATGCTGGCCACATGATCCGGAAGAACAAGGCAGCTACCTATGTTTCTAGGAAGGCTGAGGATGGGGAGAGGAGCTGTAGGCTCTGATTGGCATGCAGAATGCAGTCCCTGGTAGCAGGTCCCAGGTTCAGTTCCTGGCATCTGCAGGCAGGGCTAGGAAAGATCTCAGACCCGGGAAAGCTGCTGCCAGCCTGTGCAGACAATACTGCCTCGACTTGGTACATGGCGGATCCAAGCCCTGCTCCTCTTGGTGTGCGCATTTCCTCACCTCTGAGTCGTTGATGTAATGCACCTCGTCAAAGATCACCCACTCCAAGTCTCTGAGGACATCTGAGCCATTATAGAGCATTGACCTGGGGGTTTTTGGAAAGAGAAAGGGATATTGCAAGACCGGGACTCTTTACCCTGATCAACAGCAGAACAAGGGCTGGCCAGACCGTAGAATCATAGAATGGTAGCATTGGAAAGGACCCTCCGAGGGTCATCTAGTCCAACCACCTGCAATGCAAGAATCTCAACTCAAGAATCCCTGATGAACGACCATCCAACCTCTGCTTAAAAATCTCCAAGGAAGGAGAGTCCACATCCTCCCGAGGGAAGCCCATTCCACGGACCAGATTTTGGGCACCATTAGAAAAAGGCAGAAAATGGTTGATATTTAATGACAATGGTAATCATATGTTTCCGAGCACAATTCAAAGCGTTGGTGCTGACCTTTAAAGCCCTAAACGGCCTCGGTCCAGTATACCTGAAGGAGCGTCTCCACCCCCATCGTTCAGCCCGGACACTGAGGTCCAGTGCTGAGGACCTTCTGGTGGTTCCCTTGCTGAGAGAAGCCAAGTTACGGGGAACCAGGCAGAGGGCCTTCTCGGTAGTGGCACCCGCCCTGTGGAATGCCCTTCCACCAGATGTCAAAGAGAAGAACAACTACCAGACTTTTAGAAGACATCTGAAGGCAGCCCTGTTTATGGAAGCTTTTAATGTTTAACAGACCACTGTATTTTAATATTTTGTTGGAAGCCGCCCAGAGTGGCTGGAGAAGCCCAGCCAGATGGGCGGGGTATAAATAATAAATAATAATAATAAACAATAAGAATAAATAAGAATAAATAATAAGAATAATAGGATGGATTTAAAGAGTGACATTTGTCTTTTCCAAGAGCTCCTTTTAAACCAAGGATTGCCAGCATTTCGGGGCACATTTAGAAACCCCTCCCTATTTATACCCCAAATCCTCACCGAAGGATCTCCGTCGTCATGATGAGGCACGAGGCATCCGGATGGAGCTGAACGTCCCCCGTCAACAACCCCACGTCCCCAAAGGTGTTCTTGAAATCCCGAAACTTCTGGTTGGAAAGAGCTTTGATTGGAGAAGTGTAGATGGTGCTGCAGAAAGAGCCAGGGAAGAAAATAAAGAGTTTTAGAAGTTCAAAAGGAGGGGACTCTGGACTCCAGCATACCCAATAGGTACCATTCCGACGGGAAGGTAAACGGTGTTTCCGTGCGCTGCTCTGGTTCGCCAGAAGCAGCTTAGTCATGCTGGCCACATGACCCGGAAGCTGTAGCCGGCTCCCTCAGCCAATAAAGCGAGATGAGCGCCGCAACCCCAGAGTCGTCCACAACTGGACCTAATGGTCAGGGGTCCCTTTACCTTTACTTTTACTAGGTAATCATAGGCAATTGCTTGGGACAGGAGTCTGTTTTACTATTTTCCCTCCCTACATGAGTCAATAAAAACGGATATTTTGTCGTCCTAGTTCTTATCTGACCAAGGCCTCACAGGCTCAACCCTAGCAGGTTCAATACAGTGGTACCTCGGGTTACACACGCTTGAGGTTACATACGCTTCAGGTTACAGACTCCGCTAACCCACAAATAGTGCTTCAGGTTAAGAACTTTGCTTCAGGATGAGAACAGAAATTGTGCTCCGGCGGCACAGCGGCAGCAGGAGGCCCCATTAGCTAAAGTGGTGCTTCTGGTTAAGAACAGTTTCAGGTTAAGAACGGACCTCCGGAACGAATTAAGTTCTTAACCCAAGGTACCACTGTATTTTACATAACAGTGTTCATTTGGGCATGGAGGGCAGCTAAGCACTGTAAGAGCTACTGTGGTATAGTGGTTAGTGTCAGACTACGACCTGGGAGGACAGGGTTGAAATCCCCCCTCTGCCATGGAGCTCGCTGAGCAACCATGGGCCAGTCGCTACCTCTCCGCCTGACCTACCTCACAGGGTTGTTGCGAGGAAAACTACATACTTCTCCTCCTTGAGCTTCCTGGAGGAAAGGTGGGGCACAAATGTTAATTATTATCATTCGTAACAGGCACTCTCACCGTGTCATGTGCTTCTGGGACAGAGCAATGGCGTATTCCGCCACCACGGTCTTTCCGGCAGAGGTGTGGGCAGCGACAAACACGGAGTCGTGCTTCTCCAAGTGGAGAATCGCCTGCTTCTGGAAAACGTCTGGCTCAAAAGGCCACTGAGGAGTGGGGAGAAAGAGAGAGGAAGTCACACAGGGGGCGGGAGTTTAGTGTCATCAGTCCTTGGCCCTACCCCCATCGTTCAGCCCGGACATTGAGATCCAGCGCTGAGGGTCTTTTGGCGGTTCCCTCATTGCAAGAAGTGAGGTTACAGGGAACCAGGCAGAGGGCCTTCTCAGTAGTGGCGCCTGCCCTGTGGAACGCCCTCCCATCAGATGTCAAGGCAATAAAGAACTATTTTACTTTTAAAAGACAACTGAATGTGGCCCTGTTTAGGGAAGTTTTTAATATTTAACGCTGTATTGTTTTTAACACTCGATTGGGAGCCCCCCAGAGTGGCTGGGGAAACTCAGCAAGATGGGCGGGGTATAAATAATAAATTACACTGGGCAACAATTTTTTACTTTTTGAATGTTGTCTAGATTTCTACAACTGATTTAGGGTATTTTTGCACTGCTGAATCAGGAAATGGCATCCGTTTCTCTCCATCAGGTCAGGTTTACTGTAAACTGAATGGTGGGCATTGATAAAGGTAAGTACACGTAAATTGCATGTTGCTTCACCATTTTTCAAACTTCAGGGCTTGAACTTCTGTTTCTTGGAACTCCTGGAATGCTCAGCGGCAGGGAGGTCTCTCTTCAGAGTCCAACAGTAGTCAGCCATCATGACTGCGTCCCAGCGACCCTGATACCTGGTCTCCATCTCTTTCATGTCCTGATGGAATCTCTCCCCCTGCTTGTCACTCATTGAACCCAGGTTCTCAGGAAACCGGTCCATATGTGAAAATAGGTAGTGCACCTTGACGCTCATGTTGCAGCCCAGGTTTCTGAAAGCAGTCAGCATGTTGTTGACAAGTTCTGCGTAGTTTCTGGCCTTATTGTTGCCAAGAAAGTTCTTCACTGCCAGAACAAATGCCTTCCACGCTTCCAGTTCCACTTCGTTCATTGAGTTTCCGAACTCTGGATCTCTGATGAGCTGACGGATCTGAGGACCGTCAAAGATGCCAGCTTTCATTTTTTTAATAAGATATTTATTAGCATTTTCACAAATTTTATAAAACATAAAAATCACACACAAAAAGACACAAAAAAGAAAATCAAAAATACATACAAAAAATCAGAAAACAAACACAAACCACATGTATAACTTCATTCCCTTATATTCGTGAAAATTTACTTTCCCGACCTCCTCATACCTCTCCTTACTGCATTCCATTCTCTGATTAATTCTCTTCAACAAATCCTTCCCTTAATTTTAGTTAATTTTTTAAGCTTTCTTTTCGTATTACATAATAATTACAGCTAGCAACCCCTTAATTTCAGAATCAACATCGTCTTAACATTCGACAATTTTACAATATTTCTTAAGATAGTCTTTAAATTTCTTCCAATCTTCTTCCGCAGTCTCTTTCCCCTGGTCTCGAATTCTGCCAGTCATCTCTGCCAGTCCCATATAGTCTATAACTTTCATCTGCCATTCTTCCACGGTGGGTAATTCTTCTGTCTTCCAATACTTTGCGATAAGTATTCTTGCTGCTGTTGTAGCATACTGTCAGGGAACTGCCATCGGAAGGACAGGAGGTGGAAGGGCTCACAGAGGTTGAGAGAGACTTAGCAGCTGAAGAGGGAACCAGCAGGGGGAGAGAAAGAGCTCCAAGGGAAAGTGAGTCGGAGGGATGGCTCAGGGACACTTCCAGCGAAAATAGTGGGGAGGTTTCAGGACCTCCTATAGGGACACCCACTCCTCGCCGGAAACTGTCGCGCAGACAGTCCAGAAGACGTGTTTCCGTTAAGGAGCTTTTATGCTGGAAGAGATTCCATAAGCGCCCACTGTCGGACTCTGCTAGCGACTGACGGAGCCATGCTTGAGGGGCTCCGTCATAGGCAGAGGTTTGCGGACTTGGCCAAACTCTGAGGGACTAGGATTTCACGCACAAGCAGCTCATCATCCCATCACACATACATAAAAAAAGTCCTGTCCTTCTTTAACACCAATTGGCCGACCATACCCAGGAGAAAGGCCTCTGGTTTCTTTAAGAAGGTATATTTAAATACCTTTTTCATTTCATTATAAATCTTCTCCCAGAAAGCCTTAATCCTTGGGCACGTCCACCAGAGGTGAAAGAATGTACCTTCAGTCTCTTTACATTTCCAACATTTATTGTCAGACAAGTGGTATATTTTTGCAAGCTTGACTGGGGTCATGTACCACCTATAAATCATTTTCATAATTTTTTCTTTTAGGGCATTACATGCCGTAAATTTTATGCCGGTGGTCCATAACCGTTCCCAGTCTTCAAACATAATGTTACGACCAATATCTTGTGCCCACTTGATCATAGCTGATTTAACTGTTTCATCCTGTGTATTCCATTCCAACAGCAAGTTATACATTTTTGACAAGTTCTTAGTTTTGGGTTCTAACAGTTCTGTCTCCAATTTCGATTTCTCCACCTGAAAACCATTTTTTCTATCGGACTTAAACACCTCCATTTTTGATAATAATGAAGCCAATCTCGCACTTTATCTTTCAATTTCTCATAACTCTGCAATTTCAATTTATCCCCCTAAAGATGTGAGGGCGATCTGGCTGCGATATCTGTCACCCCATTGATCGCCAGGGTTGATTCGGCTGATCTGGCTGGCTAGGCGGGTGTCCCCTTCCTCCCTCACCGCTCCATGTGCGTCTCCCGAAGCTGCGTGCTTGGTGGAAGAGGACGACCATCCCAGATAGAAGGAGTGTACCGTTCTTCGGTCAGGGGTATACGATAGCTGCGCTCCCCTGCTAGAACCTCCAAACAAGCTCAAAGATGCCAGCTTTCAACTTCTCCATGGTCAATCCTGGAAAAGCCTGGCACAAGTAAGTGAAGCAGTCACCATCCTTGTCCAGAGCCTTGGTGAACTGCTTGATGAAGCCAAGCTTGATGTGCAGCGGTGGGAATAGTATTCTGTCTCTGTCCACCAGAGGGTCGTTGATGACGTTCCTTTCTTTGCAAGGCACCAATTCCTCCCGCACAGGCCAGTCCTTCTTTGTGTAATGCTGAGCACGGTCCCTACTATCCCACATGCACAGAAAACATGGGTACTTGGTGAAGCCAGACTGTTGTCCCAACAAAAAGTTCACCATCTTCAGGTCAACACAAATAAACCACTTGTGCTGATCATAACCATTTTTCTCCAGCACATACTTCACCGCTTCATAGTTCTCCTTCAGTGTACTCGAGTGAGCCAGAGGAATAGAGGCAAACTGGTTGCCGTGGTGTAGCAGAACACATTTCAGTGATCGCTTGCTGCTGTCAATGAACAGTCTCCAATCTTTGGGTTCGTACTGTGGCACTCCAAGCTTGAGCAGAAGCTGCGCAATATCTGCACAGTACACCAAGTCCTTCTCTTCCGAGAAAAAACGGAGGTACTCTTGATGCCTGTTGCGCAAGAAGCTGATGTGAGCACTGTCAGAGAGGAGGTTTTTTCCTTCAATCTGGATGCCAACAGTTCGGCAGAGTCCTTTGACAAGCTGCGGTCGCGAACTAGATCATTCAACTCCTTTTGGGAAAATGGATGTGGAGCATCATCTTCAAGAACCACTTCTTCTTCTTCATGTCCTTCAACACTGGAGGCATCTTCGTCACTAATGTCAGGAAGTTCTCCGAAGATAGGCACTGGAATTTCATCACAATGAGCTACAGGACGACGTGCTGATTGAAGATCAGGATTAACTTAGTTTTGATCCCCCAACTTTATGCTTTGCCACACCAATTTATGGAAGATTTCAAGGTTTTATGACTTCAAACTGATCCCTTTTCGACATAATCACCCAGAACTATCGGACCTGAATACTTCTTGTCATTAAAATAATCATTTCCAATCAAAACAATTATTTGACAAGGCATTTTACCCCCACCAACTTCTTCTAAAATGCTCCACACAAGCGTACATGTGAACAAAAACGTAAAAAAAGACATGTGGCCATAGCTCAAAAACTTGACCTGATTGAGCAAAACCAATGTGATTTTTGGATTCAGCGCATCAGATTCATCCTAAATCAGCTGAAAAAACGCAGACAACAAATTTGTTGTTGACCAGTTATTATTATTATTATTATTATTATTATTAACCCCTACCTTTCCTCTCCCCGCTCGGCCCTCTGAGCTGCCATCGTACCTTGAAAGCTGGATCAGGAATTCGCTTGTAGAAGTCGTCCACGGGAGAGCTGATGTCCACTGGGATGGCCCACTGCTCTTTGGGGGGCTCGGAAGCTGCAGCAGGGGCCGGGGCGGCCTGTGGGGCTGATTTAGGGGCGGGCGTCACCTCCTGAGAGGAAGGCAAAGAGGAGACAGGCAGCGTAAAGGAAGCCAAGGATGGGGAAAGGGAATCCTCCACCCACCCACAGACCCAATAAAAAGGGTGGGTTGTGTACCAATGCTGGTTCTAGTCAGAGCCACCATATCTAGTAGCCAAGTCCTTCCTTTTGTCTGAATTTGGCTAGAGCAGCTTTGGCTCCTGGGGGGCAGCACCCTTCACAGTTCTTTCCCAGGCCAGAAGCCTGCCGCATCTTCTGCCAGTCTTCCCTCACCTCTTTAGACAGAGAAACCCACCCGCCACCTGCTTGGGCACCTGCCAACATCACCCCAAGATCCTTCCACCCCTCTGTAGGAGTGCAAATATTCAGAGTGTGGGGTCAGGTGGGACTACTATGAGGAATTATAAAATATGCACCAAGCCATTGTGTCCACTGTGAAAGCATGGCGTTGACTGGGTTTCATCGACAATAATTTCTGATCAAATCCCACAACCCTCTGCATCTCTGGCCATTTCCTCTACTGTCCTTTTCTCTTGCTGTGTCACGTACACAGCCCAGTTGCCAGCTGCTTCACCAGGCATGCATCCTGGGCTGTGAAAGATAGTGGGCAGCTTCTTTGAAGTAGCCTTTCCGATATGTTAATCTCAGGGTGTTGATCTTAAAGGTAAAGGTAAAGGGACCCCTGACCATCAGGTCCAGTCGTGGCCGACTCTGGGGTTGCGGTGCTCATCTCGCTTTATTGGCTGAGGGAGCCGGCGTACAGCTTCCGGGTCATGTGGCCAGCATGACTAAGCCGCTTCTGGCGAACCAGAAGGTGATAAGGATGCCTATCTCCTTGCCATCCTTCCATCCTCTCCTGTTTACTCCTGTGTCTTTGTAGTTAAAAGAATTTCTTTTGATCTGACTTTGTCCCCACGTGGAGTTTGTTGAAATGCTCAGAAGAAATCTGATTGGTTCTTACAAACTCTCTGTAAGAAGTTCTTTTCTGAATAAAATGACCTGGGCCAGGGGGTAGAGAGACAGATTATTACACGCACCCTTCCCAGAGTCTTGCTGGTTCAAGCCTCTGTGTGTATTCTTATTAATCAGAGTTCAATCCTTCCTTTACTTTGAGAACGCCTCACCCTCTCTGCACGCAGGTGGCCCTACCTTAAGCACCAGCTCCTCCAGGCTGTTTGCCCTCTGCAGCGGCGCAGGTTCTGCCGGGGGCGCCTCCTCTGCCTTCGCCCCTTTCCCCTTCTTCATCCTCTTCCTCCCTTCCTCGGCCTTCTCCTTCTCTTCTTCGTCGCTGGAGGCTCCCAGCTCAAAGGTGTCCAGGGCCCCCAGCAGGTGGGTCAAGTTCAGCAACCCTGGGGAGGCCTTGAGCTCTGAAGTGGGGGGGTGAGACACACAAGCAAGATAGGTTTCTCCACTCAGGAATCTCCTCTGAGGGCAGGGGTGGGGAGAGCAGCTTTTGGGCTCAGTGATCCAAGGAAGAGTTTGCAACTGGAAATATGCTGTGGAAATGTATGTTTCATGCGAGGACAAACCTCTCTACAAGGCTTGCTATGGTCTTTCAGCTCATGTTAGGGCAGAGACAGTGACTGGGCCAAGCTCCAAGGCAGATGGGGGATTTGAACCCAGATCTCCAAGGTCCTAGCTCAATGCTCTTATTGCTTATGTTTCTTTGTATATCGCCCTTTATCCAAAGATCTCAGGGTGGTTCACAGCATACAGTATATAAATATAAAACACATAACAAAAACAAAACAATAACCCCCTTCCCCAAACATGTATAAAAGGATATACAGGATGTTTAGCCAGAGACCTGGTTGAAAAGGAACGTTTTCGCCTGGCGCCTAAATGTGTATAATGAAGGCACCAGGCAAGCCTCCCTGGGGAGAGCATTCCACAAATGGGGAGCCACCACAGAAAAGGCCCTGTTCTCATGTTGCCAACTTCCAGACCTCATGTGGAGGAGGCACACGAAAAAGGACCTCAGTTGATGTTCTCAGGGTCTGGGTAGGTTCATATGGAGAGAGGTGGTCTTGCCCCAGGGTAGCCTTACAGAAGCTGCTAGACAACAGTTATCATCATCTCTGACCATTGGGCCATACCAGAAGGGGCTGATGGGAACTGGGAGTCCAACAGCACCCAGAGAGCGCCATGCTAGCTGCCCTTGTTCTAACCACTACACCACACTGTCTCCCAGCCCCCAAGCCAGCCTCCTCACCAGTCCTAATCATCTCTCTACCAGAAATGAGGTTACCTTGTCTGGTGAACTCCACTCCCTTCTTCCAGCCTGGTGGGACCGTCAGCAAATCTGAGGGAAGAAAGAAAAAGCAGGAAGGGACATGGGCTTGAAGACGGAAGGAAAGAGAAGGGTCCGTGGCCTCAAAGCAGGGGGCAGCCCGAGGTACGAGGAGGCCCCAGTCAGAGGATCCTCTGATGGGCCTAACCTCCTCATGCCAGTGGGATACCTGGCTGCAGAGGCAGCTGTCAAGGACAGCTGGGTCTAGCCACCCTTTTAAATTTCCCACAATGTCCCAAAGTGATGGTACCGTAGGGTAGCTTCCCTGCACCTGCTCAGAGGCCCAGGCCACGTATCAGCAGTGAGCCCTGAGAGAGGAGAGAGGCCCCAGAATCTGCAGGGATTGTCCTTATTTTTATTGATCTTATGTCAACTGTGCTGCTGGCCTTTCCATCTGAAGAGTGGGCTTAAAAAAACGACTTCAACACATCATAATTCACACTCGGTGCCTGTTATTTCATCGCTCTAGCCTTACTAAAGGTAAAGGTAAAGGGACCCCTCACCATGAGGTCCAGTCGTGACTGACTCTGGGGTTGTGGCGCTCATCTCGCTTTATTGGCCGAGGGAGTCACAGCTTCCGGGTCATGTGGCCAGCATGACTAAGCCGCTTCTGGCGAACCAGAGCAGCGCACGGAAACGCCGTTTCCCTTCCCGCCGGAGTGGTACCTATTTATCTACTTGCACTTTGACATGCTTTCGAACTGCTAGGTTGGCAGGAGCAGGGACCGAGCAATGTGAGCTCACCCCCGTCACCAACCTTCTGATCGGCAAGTCCTAGGCTCTGTGGTTTAACCCACAGCACCACCGGCGTCCTTTCTAGCCTTACTAGGGTGATGTTTTTTGGTATCAAAGGCCACCCGGTTGTGATTTCAAGAAGAGGCAACCCCATAGCCCACCATGTTCTCTCCCTATCTTCCCACCCTACATAAATAGGGCAACGTCTTCAAGCCTCACCAAGGCTGCTGCAGTGGACACATGGCATTAACAACAACAACCCAGAACTGGCTGGGATCTTAAGAGAAGGTGCACCATTGCGGCTATTGCCTAGAACAGATCCAAGTACCGTTCTCAAAATCGATGTCCTCTTCCTGGTCTTCTTGAGTCTTGATCTGTTCAAGGCTGGGTTCATCCATCCCACCTAGAGAGAGGTTGAGTTAAAACAATGCACTGTGGACAATTAAGAGCAAAGCTGCATGCATGGCAATAATTCTGCAGTCGGAAGACTCAGAATTCTGCAACTGAATTGCACAGTAGGGCTGGGTGATATATTGATATATCACCAAAAACTGGTTTGAAGTCCATATTGTGATGGTGCTTACATAATTTTTCACCCAGCAATATATTGCAAATCATGACTGTGTGTGTGTGTGTGTGTGTGCTATGCAAAAATCAAAATGCGGGGAAAACCAGCCAATGTTTCTCTCGATTCCTGTAGTTCCTGTCAAGTCTGCTGGCACAGCTCTCTCCTGACTCCTACACAGAATAGCGAATCACTGTTAGAATTCCTGCTCCGTGATTGCAGTCATAGGATTGTCGTCTATCACACGGCGGTGTATGTTTTGACTCCACAGAGTGGGAAGTGATGGAGACAGGATGTTTGTGTTACTGTGTTCCATGAAGTGGGATTATTGTCCTTTGTTCTTTCTCTTAGCTGTCTGATGCTAGAGAGAGAGAGAGGGGAGCCATGTTGCAGTGCTCTGTGTGTGTTTATATGTAAATAGATTAGCCAAAATGCTGAGTTGCTGAGGTCTGTTACGCAAGCTGCGAAAACTCTGTGGATCCCTAAATGTGCCTATGTCTGTTGGCATCGGTTGCTTTGATGTTTGGGCTGAAGAAAGCTTTTTGAAGCTCCCGAACGAAAGACCAGGAGGGAGAGAACATGCCAGTCATGCATGTGTCTCTGCCAGGGTCCTACTTGAGTGTAGGCTGAACTTCTGACAACCACAAGAGCAGGCGCTGGCAAAAATCATGATGCGGGGGGGGGGGACCCTCCTCCCATCATCTCTGACCCACTGGCCTTGCTGGCTGGGGCTGATGGGAGCTGGAGTCCTAACATGATTCCAAGCCCTGGCGTAAGACTGTAGCGCCAATTCCCCAGACCAGGCAGTGCGAACAGGAGACCCATACCTGGCCAGAAGGGGTAATTGGTAGCGCTGCCTCGGAGAGCCTCGACTGGGGGGCCGGGTGCTCGTTGGAAGGAAAGAGAATTTTTGGCCGACAAGCCCATGTTGTCCACAAGTGCCTGAAACGGAAGGGGGAGCAGTGTCAAGACCAAAAGGTGCATGGCCAGTTCCCCACTCTCCCAACAGTTTTAAAATTCCTATAGACTGTATTCTCAATTCAAGACAGCAAGTATACAGGTGTCCTCCCCACTTATGCAGGGGGTTATGTTCCAGGGCCCCATGCGCATAAGTGAAAATGGCATTAGGTGGGAGGTAAAGGTAAAGGGACCCCTGACCATTAGGTCCAGTCGTGGCCGACTCTGGGGTTGCGGTGCTCATCTCGCTTTATTGGCCGAGGGAGCCGGCGTACAGCTTCCGGGTCATGTGGCCAGCATGACTAAGCCGCTTCTTGCGAACCAGAGCAGCGCACGGAAACGCTGTTTACCTTCCCGCTGGAGTGGTATCTATTTATCTACTTGCACTTTGACGTGCTTTCGAACTGCTAGGTTGGCAGGAGCAGGGACCGAGCAACGGGAGCTCACCTTCTGATCAGCAAGTCCTAGGCTCTGTGGTTTAACCCACAGCGCCACCCGCGACGAAGCACCCTCTAAACAGCCCCTAAAATGCCGGTTTTCTCCTGCTTTTGTCACCTGTTAGGCGGGAAGGCTGAACCGCTGAAACAAAGCCCCGCTACACCTCTGGTCTCGTTGGGGTTTCCTCCATCATCACTGACGTCACAAGGATGCTACAAGGACTCTCCAGCTCTCTCTCATCATTTCCTGATTTGAATCTATCTATTTATTTCCCGGTGCCACACATACCCGGTCATGTGGGGGGGGGGTTAAAGGTAAAAGGTAAAGGACCTCTGGATGGTTAAGTCCAGTCAAAGGCGACTATAGGGTTGCAGTGCTCATCTCGCTTTTCAGGCCGGGGGAGCCACCATTTGTCCACAGACAGCTTTCTGGGTCATGTGGCCAGCATGACTTCTGGCGCAACAGAACACCGTGATGGAAACCAGAGCACATGAAAACGCCATTTACCTTCCTGCTGCAGCGGTACCTATTTATCTACTTGCACTGGTGTGCTTTCGAACTGCTAGGTTGGCAGGGGCTGGGACAGAGCAATGGGTGCTCACCCTGTTGCAGGGATTAGAACCACCGATCTTCTGATCGGCAAGCCCAAGAGGCTCAGTGATTTAGACCACAGCGCCTGTATCTAGCTGCAAGAGGAGCAAAATGCTCAAGCGGTCGTTAAAGCTTGCAATCCTTCCTTGGAGCAACCGGGGGCCGCGGTGGGCAGCAGAAGGGGACATGTACCAGAGCCTGGCTGCTACCATGGAGGTGTCCAGAGATTTAGCACAAGGGTGGGGGGAACATGTGGCTTGGCACAGGTCCCCAATTTGGCCCGCGAGACTGCTTTCCCCAAACTACCCCACACCTGCCTTCCACCAGGTATGTTAGCCCTGGTTGGCTGGAGAATATTGAACCACCCACCCGCCCCAACAAGGCGGGAAATCCCTTTCTGCCCAAGGGACACACTCACTTCAGAACAATGCAGTGAGTGGGGCCGGGTAAAAAAGAGGGCGGAGCAATGAGTGTGCCTTTGATCTTCCTACAGCAGGCTAGTTTTCACACACGGCTCACATGTCCTTCTCTAGCCTTCTCACGGGCAAGAGTTTAAGAACCAATTCCAGCCAGGCGAAAACAGTCAGGGTGGTGCAAAGCGGGGCTGGTTAGGGGGTGTGGGGAAAGTTCTGCGGGCCAGGCAGAGAGTGCCGGAAGGCCACCCTGAGTCCCTTGGCCTAGGACTCCCCACCCTTGCCTGACAAAATGATATTCTGGGGGGAACACCGTTCCTCACCTCTCTGAAGCCCAGCAGCTCTCCTGTGGTGGGGTTGCGCTCAGCCTGAAGCGTCGAATGCACGGGGGTGACGTCCACCTCAAAGAGCGACTGGATGTCTTTCTCGCGGGGCCAGAACCTTCCTCGAGAAAGCAGGCAGGATTTTGGTTTTTTTGAAAAACAACACCACTAAAAACATTCCTGGATCCCACACCACCAAATCTGCCGCCCCAACCAGAGAAAACACGAGCAACCGTGTCCTCTTTTGCTCCTTTCTGGAAGGAGAGACCTCAGTTTAACACAAGGGAGAGATGGCTCCGCGGCCGCCGAGAACCCCACCTGTGAGACCTTTCGAAGTGGTGGATGGGAAGCCAGTCCGGGCTGCTGAGGAAGCGCTGCTCCAGTTCAGAGGCCAGATCCTCAGCGTGAGGGGGCAACCCGTGAGGCAGCTGCAAGGTGGGATGGGGAAAAAAGGTGCAGGTGTCATTCCTAGATACCAGCATCTATGAAGCCAAGGTACCCCCCCAAATGGGTCACATCCTGATGTAAAACAAGTTGTATCCTTGCAGCCACCACAATTATGCTCTCAAAGACTGGTCAGATGTTTTAAGTCACAAAATGCCATTGAAAAGATGGGCAGGAGGGAGAAAAAAGAGACTGGCATATATGGAGGGGGGGATTAAACTTTTTTTTAATTGTTTGACGTTTCACTTGATTGGTTGGTTGCCGTAATTGACCAGCCTCCACTGAGCAAACGAAGAAACGAAGAGCGGAAACAATGCAACAAACCAAAATGCTAGAATTCAAGTTACAAGAAGGGAGATTCCAACTCAACGTAAGAAGAACCTTCTGACAGCAAGAGCTTTCTGACAGTGGAACAGTCTCCCTCGGGAGATTGTGGACTTTCCTCCTTTGGAGGTTTTTAAGCAGAGGTTGCATGGCCACCTGTCGTGTATGATCCTAGCTGAGATTCCTGCATTGCAGGGGGTTGGACTAGATGACCCTCGGGGTCCTCTCCAACTCTATAATTCTACAATTCTATGAATTCAACTTCTTGCATTTGGATCCCACTTTTATTCTGTCATAGCATGAGGTTCCCAGGAGGCCACTCATTCAGTTACTGACCAGACCTGGGCCTACTTTGGCTGCCTCACCTTCAGGAGCCAGTGGCTGCTTTAAAATTTTTTTTTTATGGTTTTCCAGAATTTCAAGATGTGCAGCTGGTGGCTGCTTATTGTTGTTGTTTAGTCGTTTAGTCGTGTCCGACTCTTCGTGACCCCATGGACCAGAGCACGCCAGGCACTCCTGTCTTCCTCTGCCTCCCGCAGTTTGGTCAAACTCATGCTGGTAGCTTCCAGAACACTGTCCAACCATCTCGTCCTCTGTCGTCCCCTTCTCCTTGTGCCCTCCATCTTTCCCAACATCAGGGTCTTTTCCAGGGAGTCTTCTCTTCTCATGAGGTGGCCAAAGTATTGGAGCCTCAGCTTCAGGATCTGTCCTTCCAGTGAGCACTCAGGCCTGATTTACTTCAGAATGGATGCGTTTGATCTTCTTGCAGTCCATGGGACTCTCAAGAGTCTCCTCCAGCACCATAATTAAAAAGCACCAATTCTTTGGCGATCAGCCTTCTTTATGGTCCAGCTCTCACTTCCATACATCACTACTGGGAAAACCATAGCTTTAACTATACGGACCTTTGTTGGCAAGGTGATGTATTACCATTAAGAAAATTCCTCTCTCTTGTTCCAGGGTTGGAAAGGGGCTTACCGTGGTTAGCGGGAATCTGTCTCCATGAGGCCCTTCCTCTTGGGTGATGAGCTCAAAACGGCCGGCACATCCAACCTCCAGAATGGAGAGGGGTAACTCCAGAGGCCCCCTGGGGGGCAGGACTAGCAGGGAACAAGGAGATAAGGACATTTTGAAATTCACCATCCCATTTTCAGTCGCTACTCCCACTGACCCCAGTGTAACTTTCAAAGAACTGTAAGGCTGAAAGGGACCTCAGAGGTCATTGGCGCCGAATGCAACTTAATTACTTCGTATTATTATGAAATATCAATAAATATATTTTCACACACCCCAAAAAAAGAATGCAACTACAGGACCCTGAATTATGGCTATCCATCCTTTGCTTAAATTACCTCCAGGAAATGCAAAGTTTACTGATGCAAAGGTCAAAATATGTGTGCCACTTTTCCAAGCAAGCTGAGAAGCATCTCGCAGCAATAAAAGCCCATGAGGACATACAATATTTCAACAAAACCATGTAATAGTATCTTATTATTATCTGTTTTATTGTCTGGCTTACTGTTTTATGACCTATTATAAACATCCCTGGTGATCTGTTGTTGTTGTTGGCATCTATCTCTCTTGAGAGACAATGGAGTCATAGCTGTCAACTTTTCCCTTTTCTTGCAAGAATCCTATTTGGAATAAGGGGATTTCCCTAAAAAAGGGAAACGTTGACAGCTATGAATGGAGTGCGCCTCTCAGGGTGAAAGGCATCATGAAAAGGGGCAGAACGGGGCGGGTGGGGGGGGTGGAACTGAGCAAAGTGGGATTATGCTTGTTCTGCCAATGAACACAGGGGTCCAGAACGGAACCCTGGCACAAAACGAGGATTGTCTGTACTAGATAACTAGATTTTCATAACTTTGCTTTTATCTGTGTTTTCTTGATCGTTATTACTTTATTCACGTTACTTAAAAGATTCTTTGTTTTCTCTCTCTCCAAAAAAATGTATAAATTAATAGTGGCCTTATATAAGCATGAGCAAATAGAACTAATTTTTACTTTCCCTCAACTTTTCCCCATTTTCAGTTGGCTATGCAGCTTTCAAGACCTAGTGCCTGAGCTTGCTCAGTTTCCCCTTCCTTTTCCCTTCTGTGCTGTGTCTTTTTTATGTTGTAAGGCTGCATGGAAAGAACCGTCTTTGTTTTAAATCTGTGTACAACACAAAGGAAATTTTATTACTTATTTTTCTGCTCTACTTTCCTTTAGACCACATCAGTGAGGCCGGGGGGGGGGGGGAGGGAGCCTTGTCATCTGGGCAACCCAGGACCTCCATTCACACTGCCCAGGCTGGCGCCCCAGGGAGGTCACTTTGGTGCTGCAATTGCAGCAAAAACAACGTTGAAGGTAGCAGTTATGAGTTCCCGGTCTCTGCAGCCACAGCGGGCGCTGTGATTCTCCAGAGGTTTGAATGCACGCCACTGTCTCTTGAGACAGATGGATGCCAACAATTCATTTCATAAAAATTACACACCACTTGACTGTCAAAAAACAACAACCCTCTTCAGGTTTACAGTACTATTGAGGGGAAATTCACAACCCTCCTTTAAAACATACGAAAGATGAAATACTAAAAAAAGAGGCTAAAATTGCTCCAGCTTTTTAAGCATCTGGGCAAGGCTTGATCTAAACAGGGCTGTTTCCAGCAGCCTCCGAAAAGATCCCGTCGAAGGCGCCCGCTTCATCTCAAGTGGCAGGGAGTTCCAAAGGGGAGGCGCTGCCAAAGTTCTCTCACCTATCCTCTCCATCTCCATCGCCACTTCCACAGCTCGCCCAGGGGCGTGGCCAACCCCTAACCCGGAAATGCTCCTTCAAGCCCAACCTGGTGAGGGCGGAAGCTTCGGCCACACAGCAGATAGCGACTCCAAAGCCAGGGAGGAAAAGCGGAAGCGAGCGACGACGCTGACACGGGATTGGTCGAAATCCAGTCAGAGGCGGAACGCCCGGTTGGAAGAAAGCGGAAGCAGCCGTTGGAAGAGCAGCCGGGGTCCGCTTGGTTCCATTTCCAACGCAGGCGGTGCCCGCTCACTGTTGTCCAATGGCGGCGCGACATGCAAATTGCAAACGTCTCGCCGCTGCGTCGCACGCATGCTCAAAGTGTTCGCGTTTCGAACGTTTCCGCCCTGCTGCGCAATTCAGCCAATGAGCTGCCGATATGTAAATCGGTCCTTAAACACGCGCGAGCGCTCTCCTATCATCGCGGCCGCCAATCAGCCAATGGGCTTCGCGTTGCCGGGTGGCTTATGCAAATATACGTAGAGACTTCCACCCGCTGCGTGGCTTGTCCCAGAGGCGTGTCTAGAGCGTGCCGGGAGAGAAGGCTCGCGCGACAGGGAGAGGACGCGGGAGCAGCTGGTGAGTGGGAGGCCGGAGGAGGGATGTGATTGGTGCAAAGCGCGTTGCATTGCAAGGTCTCCCCAGTAAATAAGCAGGCAGGAAAACGAGTGTAAGGGAAGAAAGGGTCGAATAGGCCACAACTTTTATTGGTTACAGACGCTTAGGCATTAATATAGGTATGAGCTTTCGTGTGCATGCACACTTCTTCAGATACACTGAAACAGAAGTTGCCAGATCCTTCTATATAGTGAGAAGGTGGGGAGGGGTATTACTCAGAGGGGGGTGGGAATGGGTGATTGGCAGATAGCTGTGATGAGTCTGTTGACGACCCTTAACGACTGCAATAGGTCTTAGAGGAAAAGGCAAGGGGTGAGGACGTGAAAAATGGCTTTGTCATGTATAGTGAGATAAGAATCCAATGTCTCTGTTCAGGCCAGGTGTCTCCATGGTTTTAAGTTTGGTAATGATTTGCAATTCAGCAGCTTCTCTTTCCAGTCTATTTCTGAAATTCCTTTGTAGTAAAACAGCTACTTTGAGATCTTTTTCCTGTAAGACCTACTGCAGTCGTTTAGGGTCGTCAACAGACTCATCACCAGCCATCTGCCAATCACCCATTCCCACCACCCTTCTGAGTAATACCCCTCCCCACCTTCTCACTATATAGAAGGATCTGGCAACTTCTGTTTCAGTGTATCTGAAGAAGTGTGCATGCACACGAAAGCTCATACCAAGAACTAACTTAGTTGGTCTTTAAGGTGCTACTGGAAGGAATTTTTTTTTGTTTTGACTATGGCAGACCAACACGGCTACCCATCTGTAACCATTAATATAGGGTATACCATTTTCAACTCCAGCCCTTCTGCTGGGAGTGCCTTCTAGGGTCAAACGAACCTGGGGGTGGGTGGGTGAGAGTGCTATGGCTGACGACAAATAATAATAATAATTTTTATTTATATCCCGCCCTCCCCAGCCAAGGCCGGGCTCAGGGCGGCTAACAAGCAATAATAAAAGCAAGGGTTGTTTTTTTTGAATTATTTTTTATTCATTTTACAACACAAAAATATAAAAACACATACCACAATTTTTCACAAATACATTTTTTGGAGTTCCCTCAGCTCTTCTGCAAATCCTCCGTTTTAGTCCTTCTTCCGCATTTCTTAATCTAGTATTGCCTTTTATTAAAAACCCCCTCCCTCTTATTCCCTTTTTTACAATATTTCTAATATTTTCAGAGAGCCTCTTGCAAACCTACAAACCTTTCAATATTTTAATGCTGTATTTTAATCTTGTTTTTAAGTTGTATTCATTCAACTTGTTTTTATTATAACGTTTGTAATAATGAAAACAAGTTGAATGAATGCAACTTAAAAACAAGATTAAAATACAACAATTAAAATATTGAAACATTAAAATATTAAAATGCAGCCTCATCACAGGAGGAAAAAGAGAGAGGGGGAGGGAATCAAATTGGCTCCAAGCCAAAGGGGTAACCCCCCCCCAGGGGTTCCTATTTCAACTCTTCCTGGGTCCCTTTATTGGGATACCCTTTTGCATGCAGAGGCTGCAACCTCTCCTTGTTACAAAACGTAAGGCTTACCCAGTGTCTGCTGCCACTGGAAACCAAAGGCAGGGGCACCTGGGTCAAAGACTTAGTTTGGCAAAAAAGAACCAACCCGTGCATATGCGCGCGCACACACACAGGCTGGGAGCATCAATGGCACCCCTCTGGAAGCTTCACCCTGGGGCAAGCAAACCCTGGCTAGCCACCTCCCGTAGCTATGACTCTGCCAAAGGTGGGATATTCGTGCAAAGCCAAGCTGCAAATGTCCTTGTACAGTGGTACCTCTGGTTAAGAACTTAATTCGTTCCAGAGGTCCGTTCTTAACCTGAAACTGTTCTGAACCTGAGGTACCACTTTAGCTAATGGGGCCTCCCGCTGCCACGCGATTTCTGTTCTCATTCTAAAGCAAAGTTCTTAACCCGAGGTACTATTTCTGGGTTAGCGGAGTCTGTAACCTGAAGCGTCTGTAACTTGAAGGTACCACTGTAGTTGGCATGACCCAACTTCTGCACTTAAATTTGTCTTCTAGTGGAATATGGCAGCTGGAATAAGGTGTGGGATTCCCTCCCCGCCAGAGGTGAAACTGGCGCCTTCGTTATGCAGTTTTTGCTGACTGCTGAAGACACACATGGTTTTGACACTTGAAATGCAACTTTTTTTGGACCTGCCCTAGGCTGCTATCAGTTTTAAATATTTTTTAAAATATTGCGAACCTGCTGGATCAGCTGACAGCCCATCTAATCCAACATCCTGTTTTCACATGGGCTCAGAATTCTGGGCTAGATGGGCTATCTATCAGCCTGATGCAGCAGAACCTTTTTAGGTGGCATTATTTGTTCTTGTTTATATGGAGACCCTATCTGCCATCCCCTTTGCTCCACAACCATTAAAGGTGTTGGAGGAAGAAGCCATGTTGCACTATGGACCCAGGTTGGTTGACCAACCCACAAGCTGCCGCTGACTATTTTGTTGCCTTCCCTTTCCAGACGGTGACTTTGTTTATCAGCCATGATTGTCTTACCCCCGGGACTGACAGATGAAGAGGAGGCTCTGCAGAAGAAGTTTGCCAAACTCAAGAAAAAGGTCAGACTCCTTTTTGTCGATGCCGAGGGGTAGATTCCACCCTAGGCAGGCCAGGCCGAATCAAGCTGTTGTTGGCTGTTCAAGGCCGTTGGTCCACCCAGTCCCAGCTAGCGTGGCCAACGATCAGATACAAGAATAGAAAGAAGCTTTCTGGGTCATATAATAGAATCGTAGAGTCGGAAGGGACCCCGAGGGTCTGTCAGGAGTTCAGCCTACACTTGAATAGGGCCCTGGCAGAGACACATGCCCGACTGGCATGTTCTCTCCCTCCTGGTCTTTCGTTCGGGAGCTTCAAAAGCTTTCTTCTGCCCAACCATCACAGCGACTGATGCCAACCGACACCAGCACACTTAGGGATCTTCAGAGTTTGCGCAGTTGCGTAACAAACCTCAGCAACTCAGCATTTTGGCTAATCTACTTTATTTACATATAAACACACACGGAGCACTGCAACATGGCTCCCTCTCTCTCTAGCATCAGACAGCAAAGAGAGAAAGAACAAAGGACAATAGTCCCACTTCAAGGAACACAGTCACACAAACATCCTGTCTCCATCACTTCGCACTCTGTGAAGTCAAAACACATACCGTCATGTGAAAGACAACAATCCCGTGACTGCAATCATGGAGCAGGAATTTTAACAGGGTCATCTATGTAGGAATCTAAACATAGGGAGAGCCAGTGTGGTGTAGTGGTTAAGAGCGGTAGTCTCGTAATCTGGTGAACCGGGTTTGATTCCCCGCTCCTCCACATGCAGCAGCTGGGTGACCTTGGGCTAGTCACACTTCTCTGAAGTCTCTCAGCCTCACTCACCTCACTGAGTGTTTGTTGTGGGGGAGGAAGGGAAAGGAGAATGTTAGCCGCTTTGAGACTCCTTCGGGTAGTGATAAAGCGGGATATCAAATCCAAACTCTTCTTAAACAAACACATGCATGACAGATGGCCATCCAACCTCTGCTTAAAAACCTCAGAGGAAGGAGAGCCCACAACCTCCCAAGGGAGATTGTTTCACTTGCTGCCAGAAATTTCTTCCTGATGTGTAGTCAGAATCTCCTTTCTTGTAGCTGGAAGCCACGGGTTCAAGTCCTACCCTCCAGAGCAGGAGAAAACAAGCTTGTTCCTTCTTGCGTGTCACGGGGCCTATCTAGCCTAGCATCCTGTTTTCACAGTGGACAACCAGATACCTCTGGGATGATGGGGATTTGCAGCCCATCAACCTCTCGAGAACCACAGGGTCACCTGTTGGTAGATGACGACAGAAGAAGACTGGGTCGAAGGGAAAGGAAGGGAGGGAAATAGGTTTGGAGATGCCACGTTCAATATGGTTGTTGTTCCTCCCCAGAAAAAGGCCCTCATGGCCTTGAAGAAGCAGCAGAGTTCAACCAGCCAAGCCAGCCAGGGAGGAATTAAACGCTGTAAGTCGGACTTCCACCAAGGGAGGTGGGTGGAGTGGAGTCGGGTGCACCTTGGTCCGCCAACACTTGGGACACTCACTTGCATTTCTTCCGCCCGCTTTGCAGCCATCTCTGACCAGCCGGTCGTGGACACGGCCACAGCCACGGAGCAAGCCAAGATGCTCGTGAAAACGGGGGCCATCAGTGCTATCAAAGCAGAAAACAAGAACTCGGGGTTCAAGCGCTCTCGCACGCTGGAAGGGAAGCTGAAAGTAAGGGGAGCTAAGTGGGTGGAGACTAGGGCTGGGGGATGTCTGGTTGTCAACGTTGCGATGTATCACCAGCGTATCACAGTATCTGAAATAAGACAAAGGCATTG